GAGTAAGAACTATATTTTTGCACGTAACTTTAAAATGGCGACTATGGGGTCAACATCCTGCCTTGAACAGGATCACATAAGCCAGTAATTGCTCTTTGAGAAATAAGCCCGGCTAAAAACTAATGCTGGCTTTATAATGAAGAAAGGGGCCTCTTTCAAAATAGATAATTTCAAGGCTGCTGGGTCAGGGGTACCAGGTTTGATAAAAATAAATTAATGCTTTGAAATCTGCCCTTTGATAAGCAATGGTGCCTCTTTCAAAATTTGTGAATTTCATGGCTTTTGGCTTAAAACACGAACCAAATACAATCGCTGGAAAGTTGTTACATGATACTCAGGTGACCTATAAGGCCCGTGGGCCTCTTGTTTTGTGTACTTTTAAAAGTAGAAAACTTTTTTTAAGTGAGAACCAGTTTCACCTGATGAGTATTTTGAAAATAAAGTATAGCATGTTTATATCAGACATGTCATAGTGTACATCTGTCTATAACAGTCACATTTTGTTTTTTGAGGAAATTAGTGAGATATCAGTAGGATATACAAGTTCCGAGAAATATAACTATTTGTTTCCAGAGGTTTGATATAATTTTATTTGACTGTGCAGATAGGTTTGGAATTTTATGATGCATACCAGCTATTGACAAGATTACTTCTCTGTTCCAATGTTTCACCTGTCCAGCTAAGCTAATTGTTTACCTCAAGGTTTCAGAATGATATCCCATGCAATAACAGATGCATCAATTTTCTTTGCTGTTGACATTATGATACGAAACTCATTCATCAGGAATTTAAAAGGATATCTGGCCCTTAGTATGCTTTTGGCTGTTGCAGCATTCATTTAAGTGTTCTGTAATATTTTCTCAGATCTTTTGAATTTCAGTAAGTCTAGGATAAACAGTGGAAAATTGGGTACAAATGTTGACTTAAGCAGAGATGGATTTTATACTTTCTAAAATTATTGGGTGGTTTAAGTCAAAAGCTTTGTGCTTTGATAATGTCATGTTTTCATATCAGTGATGTATGGCTTTGAAGTAAAACTTTTTATGTCAAAGATTACAATGACATTTTAATATTGAGATAATTTGGTTTCTTTTTATAGGATGAAGAATGGTGTAACTGTGGAAATCATGACTTGTGGCCAGTATGTTTTAACGAAAACATTGTGATCCACCTAAGAAAACTATCCGAACACTCTCTAAATGTAGGTGATTTCTATGTGTATGTTTCCGTGTTGAATTCCAATGAACCTTGCCTCAACGTATGTTACAGTACACCTTCTGGAATTAAAGAACAAGTAATCTCTGACAGGGATATTGACAGATTTTTTGCAATGGAAATTTTAAATAGGACTAGTTCTTGTTCAGATGAAGAGCTGGGGCATATGTTGCAGAGGTGTTTAGTACTGTTTGAAGGCAGTGTGCAACACCTAAAGTGGGATGAGACAACTCAAGGCTGCCAGGACTGTAAGAGAAATCGCATGATTGAAGACTTACTGAAAAACCAGGCAGGGATGTGGAACGGAAGTCGCCCAAATTACCTCTGTCTCACAGGTATGTACATAATTCTGTGTAAGACTTCCTTTTGTATCTGTATGCAACTTGAGAATGAGGTAAGTTGAATGCCAGTAAATCTACATAATAAAAGAACACTATTCACTAAATATTAAGTTGCTTAAGGATTTTAAACAGGTTAAAAGCATGTCTAAACTGTCAATAATTGGAAGAAAGCATATGCATGAGTAGGGGAGAAATATTTCCTAACAATGACAAGTTCTATGGTTGGTATGTGATGGTAGGTGGCAAGTGTTGCCTTTACTTAGGAAAACTTACCCCCTGCCTTGTGAAACTGTCAGTTTCTGTAGGACCTTGTGACCCAGTAGCTAGGTACTTCTGTTTGGTAGTCGTGGATTTTAGTGTTAAAACACCCAGACACACCAGCTGATTGTGTACATTACATCATAAGAGTCTGCTGAGGACACATTTTTAGTCAGTGACCACGGCAGGAGGCTTAGGAATGATAGACCTACCAAAGCGAAGAGTATCCATGTATACATGAATATATCATTATCACCTTCCATTTGTTGCTTTGTCTGATTGACTCCTGGTTTTGTCAAATAATTACTCGGCAATCATCTATAAATATCAGTATTACCAGGGTAATTGCAATTTATACCTGGTACATGTAGAGTAAGTCAACAGGTGTGTTTAGTATTTGACCCAAGGGTGTCATCTTCAGGTACATAAAATATCTGTGTAAAATCAATAAGATTCTCATTAACTTTCAATTAGAGGTACATGATGACAATGTCTTATGGCCATAGTTCTGTTTGATTGGACACCCCCTGTGTAGAATGTGAAACGTGAAAGGTCACACTGTTGGTTTATGTCTGCTATGTCAAGAAAGAGACAATTACTGTAAACCAACTTTTATTCGCGACGACTTTATTTCGCGATTTACCAGTAGTAAACTACTTTGCGACGATTAATTTTCGCGATCAATTTTTTTTTTAATCTGTTATTCTTAGACACATAGACTTAAGGACTGGTTCTCGGCGAGAAATATTCGCGATTACAAGGTTCTCGCGAACTTCGCGAAAAATTCTCGCACGCGAATAAAAGTTGGTTTACAGTATATTGTCTGCACTAGGAAGGGATAGGTTGTTATTAAAACCATTGGGATTTAATGCTTGTGTGGTGTTTTTGACCACAACTAGAAATTGGTCCTTCAAGACATATAATTTTTAAGAATTGATATATACATGTATACTCATTTCAATCTTAAAAAAATATTTCTTTATTTAAAAAAATTAGGTTTCTTAATTCTTCAAAGAAAGTTTGACAGTATGAACATGATGAAGAAACAGTATGTTAAATATTGAGACAGGAGGAAGTCAAATAGTTTGTTATCAAATTAATTATACTTCAGGAAACACAGGTATTTCATTTTTATATAATCTACCTTTTCAATCGCAATGCCATATTTTGATCAAGTAGGAAGATAAAAGAAAATAAAGACTGCTCTTGTGAAATTCAAGTTGATTCACTGTTACCCAAACTGTTTTAATATCCCAACAAAAGGTTTTTCCTTTGTTATACCATCAGGCCCATTATCTAGTCTTATCAAGATGGCAAATCTTGGATTAAGCAAAAGCATTGTCCCCTGAAGTATCAGAATTACAAATTGTTTGATACTGTCAGAACAAGAACGTTGTTCCTGTCTTTGGACAATGTGCTGGACTTAGCCTGTCAAATGGTTTGAGGATTGCTCTGTCAAATATTGTCTGTACTGCTGAATTGTACCTTGTGAAAAATGTGTTGTCAGGTATGGAATTAAAAGTTTGCCTATGCACTAAGTCTGCACTTTTGGAGAGATTAATTCAGTATAACATAATCTTAGGTGGATGTCCCTATTACATTTTTTCTTTTTGGAAAATAAGCATGAATTAGGTTTTTTGACATCTTGCTTTTAAAAGATTTACTCTTAATCTATGCACTTGAAATGTAATTATTTAAACTCGTAGAAAAATGTGAATTGGTGGCACCCCCCGTTGCCCTTGAGGTCAGATTAAACTACAGCTTTAGTTACAAAAATTTCATTGTTCTTTTTTAATGTATTTATAAACTTTAAACCAAATTGAGACAAATAACTGGTACTGTTCCATATCCCATCAAGACATTGCCAATTAACACACAAGATAATCCCATTAGTATTTTATCCCCTTATCCTGGTCGCAAAGATTATTCAGAGCATGGTTTCCGTCATTGCTTGGTGTACAGCGTTGAGTTACCACCCCTGCAGCATCACAATGTGACTATTGATTCAGTCTCGTATTGATTCCGGCCTGTCTCCTGTAGGTTATATATAGACTCTATGAGGATAAAATCAAGGGGTGTTCCCTTCCACTGTCCACACCACCAAGAGAGAGAGACAAGAGATGCCCAGTACTTAATCAAGGCAATATAATACATCCGTGTCAGTGACCATAATGGATTTCATGCAATATTAATTAATGCATTCAGAAGAGTGGAAAATTGCAGAGGAACAGTTTGCAGATCCAATAATTGTGCAGATTTCTCTGCAATTTGCAGCAGCTTAGATTTTTAATGCCAGGAAACAATTATATGCATATTTTTTTAAAAGAGGATGTGTTCTTTTCTTCATGTGGCCATTTTTCCCTGAGGCCAGCTTTTAATGGTGGAATATTCCCCTGCCGTTATTATGATTCTATTGTACTGAATCATTTCTAAATGACATCAATTTCATATTACATAAGAGGACTAGCTACACCATTATCTATGATAGATAGGGTGTTTATTTAGGAGAGGTTCTGTGGAGCTTGGTCATTACCCTACCTTGACTATCATTCTCACATCAGGAGTATACCATCTCATTTTTAATAGAGAGACAGAAGATTTTTAACTCAGGTCAAATGGGATGTCATCTGACCACTGAATTGAGAGTAATGGACAGGAGAGAAAAAAAACTATCTGGCTGACGTTTTACATACACAGGGGTTGTGGTCATAGATTTCAGTTCAGGGAGACAGTGTAAACAGGGGCTGAGAATGTGATACTCTGACCTGACAGTTGTGTGCATGTAAAAAAAAAAAAAAACACTGGCGAATACTAAAGGAGAGAGGACTTTACATGTAATGACTCTACGTGAAATAGCGTGACGGAATATGAAGAATATGGCTCCTGTGTTTCATATTTTCCCACATGTTACATCATGATGAGGTAGAGATGCTGCATTTGTTCCAAGAAAAAGTCAATTGGATTGTTTCTTAATTGTGCATGCAATTGCCATCTTACAGTTGGAAAGGGGTTAAATCACACTGAATTATTCAGCAACTTGTAGTGCCTAGATCATGCAGATGTCAAGTGAGGAGATATATTATAGCTTGCTGTGTTATGACAGAAATACCTACTGTCCTGTAGGAACATCATCTTTTGTTGTAACAGATAATGTCAAGGATTCTCAGTATATTTTGATCCTGTATTTTGTTGTGGAGGAAATAGGAGAAGCTGTTATTTGTGCAAAAAACAAATTACCGGAGTATTGACTAATGTCTCAATTATAGTTATATACTATTCATCATTTGGCAATTTTCTGCAAAGTAGATAGATATTCACCATGGGAAATATCATAGCTGACTTTGAAATCAACGAGGTTGAAGAAAGGGATATACAACAGGTTGAAAGTGAACTAACAGCGATCAAAGGGACTGATATAGACAAGGTATCGAGAAGGGTAAGTCCGAGCTCCTCGCTGGAAAATTATGTGGACACCAGGGATTATACAGAGTCTAACTTGTCATCTCCGACTGAATATCACAGTGCTAGGAATTCTGAGCATTTTCCATTCACAGACTCGGATGTGAGTGATATTGAGTCTGAGGATCTTGGGATGTCACATGGCGTAGAGGATAAGTCTGCGGGAAATAATGGGAACCTGTTCAGTACTGGATCTGAGATGAGTGGGGAGGTTCCTGAAAATTGTCAAGTGTGTCATGAGGACATGTATGATTACTTAAACCCTGATGACCTTTCAAACACAGGGTCAGAGGTTAGCGATTTTGACAGTGATTTTGACTTTGACACTACATCTGCTCAGGATAAGACACAAGGACATGCAAAAACATCTGCTAGTTCTGACTCAGATCCTACCATAGAAAATATCTCTAGCCAGAGTGTCTCAGATGCAGACAATACTCCAAATAAACAGGACTCACCCTCAGTGTTAGTATTGGGGAAAAAACCTGCCGAAGAGCTCATCATGGGAGGTAACTCTACTATGAATGATACATGTGGTGGTTATTGCAATTCAGCAGAAAAGTCACAGAGAAAAAATGTGAGTAGTAATGAGAACAATGCCCCTACTGATCAAAGCCAGGGAAATAGTACTAACAAGATCGAGGGTTTGGTTGTGAATGCTGATGGTAGTGTTGCTGATGACAAGTTGTGCAGTACTGAGGCAGATGTCAGAGTTAATACTGAGAATTTGTCGTCTCGTGACTGTTCCAGTGGCCGTGACATACAGTGGGACAGGACTATAATCATGGAGGATGGGAGGTCTCCTCCAAATGAAAATACGGGAACATTATCCTCGAAAACTTCTATGATTGAATCACAATGTGACAAAGGGAACTTCAATGAAGATGAATCTAATTGTGAACATGGGAACGTTAACAATGACATTTATCCAGAAAATGAATACGAGCCTGAAAGGTCAGAATCGTCTGTTTTCAGAAAATTAGGACAGGGTAAAAATGTGGACCAGGGAAAATTAGTCAATGTTCAAAGTGACCAAGAAACGGAGAAAGAAGGCTTAATGAAACCCATTCAAAATTCCCCAACCGGTGAGAATGAGCCGCTCTCTAATGCTATTGTGAAAGAGAACATAGATGAATACCCACAAATAGTTCAGGATATTATTAAAAACCATCTCAGATTTGTGGATATACTAACAAAATATGAGCAGTTCTGTAGTTCAAAATTGGATTTGTTTAATGCTTTAGAAATTCATCACCAGGAAACAGATGCCCTTAATGGTAAGCAATTAGGAAAAATTTAGCTAAGTTGGATAGATATAATGATCAGTGGTGGTTACAATATCTAATTCAAACAATCCAAGTAAATACAGGTAGCTATTAAGATTTTGTAGTTGAGCATGATATTTCGAATATCATGATCTCATGAATGGCAGGCAATTTTATGCAAATAAAGCACTGTTCTTTCATTCAGAAAAAATAAGCCTATCATACAAAAACTGAGGTGTGAATAACCTTGACAACAGGAGAATTTTCCTTTCTACCTCTGGCTAAATGAAAAAGAGAGAGGTTAAATAAAAAAAATAACTCATCTAGCATTTACCTGCAAAACACACTGTATAAAATCATGAAATCATTTTACTAAGGTGGTTTTATGAGCAGAGGTACCAGAGACAAAGGAAAAAGATTTTCTTAAAAGTAGAGTTTATATTAGGAAGAAATCAATGAATGTTAACAAAGATTTAAAACAATTTACTCATGTTAAACATTTTAACCCTTTTAAAATACCACCTATATAGCACAGATCTATGGTTAAGATTGGAATTATTGAATGAGACTCTTAGTGACTAAATGGGAACAATTTCTGAGGTGCTTTCACAGGTAAGGTGGGAAAAAAATCGAAATTTGGCGGTATTCTTTGTTATGATGAGTCACGTCTTTATTTAACTAAAGACTTAAACTTTGGTCACAATATACCTGCAGTTAGGCAGAGCAGTGCGATATCAGTGTTTATACACAAGGGGACCTGAATTTACATATTACATCCCCGTCTTTGAGCTATGTGACATTGGTGAAAAACTTTGCTTATGTAGACGTAATGTACCAAACACTGAACAGCATTAGTGAATGACAATACCAGTGCATGTTGTAATGAGTAGTTTTAAACAGTGTGCAGTCTAACAGGATAGATTGATCAGATAAGATGTGCACTTGTTAGCTTGTGTCATTGGTCAGACAGGATAAATTAACACTACAGGTATGTTTTTTATAACTAGTAAGATATATGCCTCATAACTCTATACTTAATTTACAGATAAGAAATCCCATTTCTTCCAATGGTCAGTCTAGACAATAGATTTGATATATTATCCTAATTTTCTTTTTTCTTAAATTTTTTTCTCTTGAGAAGTTGTCTTGATGGAGGCATTTGATTATAGGTGTCAGGTATTTCAAACTGGTGTTTTATATCAAGGAGGTCCGACAATTTACAATTGTATGGAGCCTTTCCAATGTATCAAACGTGGAAAACATTCACATACATCTCCAAACATCTCATGCTGTTGTCATTTCGGCATTTTTTTCACATACCACCTTCTTACTCTTTTCGTAGCCAAAGAGAGGTTGTACATATGAAACATATGCATTTTTGCAATGTTCCTATTTCATCAAGTTTTTCATGTTATTTCAGAGGGCTTATCAGGGATGAATTCCAATGGTGGTGGGGCCACCTCAGGCCCGGGGCCAGGAGGAGGGCAAAGGCCAAATAGCCCTAGAAGTCCAGGATTCTACAAACATCGAAATTTAGATGCCCCTAAAACTATAATGGATGTGGATTATAAACTTCTTAATTCAGGAATAGCAGTTCTTCCAGGTAAGGCAGTAAGGATTCACATTTACGGAAGTAGAAAAATGTTAATGTTGATGATGAAATTGTTAATTTTGACATCTGAATATCGTTCAGGTGTCAAGTTGAACAATTAATTAAGATAAAGGGATTCTGTAGTTTAAATCTTTTTAATGTTTTTTAAATGACTTTGGCAAATTCTGCGTTCACATACACTGTAGTAAATCTGTGGTACGATTTGATTTGACAAGCAGTATGTATTTCTGGAGTCTCTTACATTACACTGAATGAACCCTTTCCTTAATATTAATGACACATTCCTTAATCAACACTTTCATTTACATGCACAGCCGTCTATAGAACATGTTCAGGACTTTGACAATACGTCATCACTCGAATTGATCAGGATGCTATATGCTTTTACAACCCATTGATACATGTATATACACACTATATAAGGACAAATATCAAATGTAAATGAAAGTTAAAAAAATTTGATGTTTTGCACAATTACAAGTTTTGTGCATTATCAAGCAGTAGTCAGATAACAATAGATGCATTTGAAAATAGAAATTCTGATCAGATAGGTGTTTTGTTTTGCCTTCTGGAATTATTAACCCATGATTGGTCCACATGCAAAAGAAATAAGGGATTATACATGTCGACAACAAGTATAAAATTAACAAAACAGATGGCTAGTTCTGACTGGGCAGGATCACACTGCTAGTTATGAATGAGAGATGTGAGAAAATAATGTGTTGATCCTTTTATTGACAGATTTGATTGATTGAAGATTTAGATGTATAATTTTTGGGGATGAATCTCACTTCCTTTAGCTGTGGCAGTATTGGCTGTCAATAGAGACATGGTGTTATACACAGTTGACACTTATTCTGATCCTGGATATTTATTTTTATTTACAATGATGAATTTTTGCTTATTTTCTCTCACTACACACATAGATAATTTTACTAGAAGGGTGTGGTAACATTGCTAGAAACTCACATTTGATTATGTGCCTACATTCTAGAGAAAGCAAGGTTTGGGATTCCAATGCAGTTACATGTTACTGTTGGGGTTCTAGTAATTCCAGGATCTATAAGTAATTAACTGTTAGGGATTTCAGTGATGGGAGTCTAAAGTAATTGTAGTATCTTTTGGGATTCTAGTGATGGGGATCTATAGGTAATTTACTGTTTGGAATTTCAGTTATGGGGATTTTTATGAGTTAGGAAAAAGTGAAGATTATTCTTTGCGTACATCAAAATTCAGACTTAGTAAATTCATGTGAAAAAAATGTACCCTTTGACCACTCAAACTCCTGCTTGACAGTATTTATTTTAAAACAGGTAATTCAACTGTGTACTGCTGTGGTGTCATTAGTTAACATTGACTGTACTAAACAGAATAATTGAATTGAAGTTAATTCCCTTGAGGACAAGTTTGCAAACATTAAACAGTGATTTCATAGTTTACTCAATTTGAATTTCTAAAGCCTTCTATCAAAAGGATTTTCAATTTGTTCCAAGCTCCACAAATGACAGAATTTTACATAAAAATGTGACTTGACTTTTTGTTGGCTGTTCGGTGAACTTCATGGTTAGGGTTCATTGGTTCAGAGTTCACTCTTTGGTCACCAAATATTAGAACAGAATATGTGTAAAGGAATTAAGAAATTGTTGAAGCAATATCGTTTCTTCATAAATGTAAAGTAACGTAAATATATATTGACAACACCATTTAAAGACAGAAGTAAATATTGAGAAGATAAATACTTTGCCACAAGTTGTACAAATATGTTGTACTCCATGAAATTATCTTGGTAATGATAGCTAATAATTGTAAAGAATTTCTCAATATCACAAATATTTGTTACAATGGACAGAACAATATAGAGGGTAAACAAAGCCCTGCTGGCTCTAGCGGGGCTGGGTATTGACAGTAGAGCTTTTGACCCACTGATATTGGCATTTGTACTGTCCAGATGTCAAATATTACCCAACTCAAGGTATTAACTATTGGAGAATTCTAAATTGGATGAAATTATTAGAGAATTGAGGGAGATTTTTGACACTTTGTTTGATGATTGTGACTCTGTTTTTGTTTAAAATTGAATATTTTCTTTATTTAGACCATATGCCTATTAATATCATTTCTGATATCCTTATTTACTCAGTCAAAGGCTATTTTTATTAAATTCATTTTCATAGCAGATTTTTCTTTACTGTTAATTTTACTCAAATGAATGCTCTTAATTGATGAATTCATGACTGTTAAGATTTTTTTTTTTTTTAAAGGAGGTAGGGTACAGGTGTTAATCTTCATTTAATTTACAGTTGAACTCATACTAAGCACAGTGTATCAGAATTAGATGTAGCCTGTTCCTGGTTTAATAGTATGAAGGTGGAGTTCATAACACAGCAGGACTCTAAATACACACCCATTAGTGTAAACCACATTATACAATACACCAAGGTTATCAGCTGTAACAGGTTTGTATGCACTCCAGAAATCAGTGCATGTCAACCATATGTCATAGCACAGGGTGGTCTGGGATACAGCTAGAGGTCTGCTTGACTCCTCCATAGGTCACATGACTTTGGAGGGTCAATTGAGGATACAGGGGGGTCACGTAGGGTCAATCCAGGATACAGGGGGGTCACCCTGAGGTTTCTGTCTCCCTCTAGCTGATTGAGGCAGCTGAGGTAGAAAATTGTGTGTCTCCTTTTATCCTCTGGATGAAGCACTAGGTCTTGATTAATTTTAAGGGAAGTCTGGCAGACGGTGACAAGATTATATGGAGCTGTGTCAGAGAAGTCTTGTATTAATGGAAAGTTGTAACTGCTAAATTGCTGGCTGTAGTTCACAGCAAGCATGTTTTCTTCCTCTTTGGAAAGAAAACAGATTAAACAAAGACATGTCTGATTCAATGGAAAAATAGATAAAAACAATTTGTGACATTATTCTTTTTGCTTAAGTGCTACATTATCAAGATTGCAGAGTTTCAAATCTCCCATTACCTCTTGAAGACTTAGCAGAAAATTTATCAAAAAATATGACAAAATTGGGATTTAAACAGGCACCATCACCATATATATCAGGTACTCTCCAAAATAAGCAACCAAAACTTATGTCATAACTGTCAACATAGCACTTTCTCACTTTGCTTTACTGTCCTTTACGTAATTTGCAGAATAGGAATATGCAGAATAGGAAAATTTAAAATCAAGAAAGGAGAGCATAGCTAGAGCATTATATCAGATCTGAGCTATAATTACTTTCGCAGTTTTTTCATGTATTAAATTTTGGCTTATTCAAAATGCCTGGCTCTAGTCAAGAAAACATTTGTAAGAGGATCCCGGTTACGTAATGTCCTACGAATGCACTGCATCTCCTTGTCAATGAACTGACCTTCTATAGTACAGACTTCTATCTTTAGAAACCTGTATACATTGTTTCACCGTTATCAGCCATAAAGTCTATGCATACGATTATCTTTTCAAATCAAGTAATCCATCGATATCAATTTAATTGATTTATTTAGATTAAAATTTTTTGGCAACGTTAAGACATTTTGGGATCATGCAGGAACCCCTTTAGTCAACATGTCTCACGTAATGCCAGATTGTCTTGTACAGTTTGCTTGCCTTGAAAAGAAAGGGGGGATAAAAAACATCAACATGTACTGATAGGAATATAAAAGGACTTGTCCAGGAACTACGGGGTCATTGAACATAACACTGTCCGCTGGACTGCTATGTCAATATTTACCTAATTATTGTCCTTTGATCTTGTTCTTTGTTGATATTTAGAATAAAATGTCTTCTGAATTATGTACACAAGATAAGATAAACAACTTAGTGTATTTTATTCAAAAAAGATTATGCGCAACAGTCATGTTGATTTTTATTGCTCATAGGTGACCTAGAAAAACTATTTAACCTTACACTGAGGCATGACTGACGGAGAAAGAAAGAGAGAGAAAGAATTTTTGTAGTTTCTTTTACAAGAAAGATTTTTTTCATTGTTTTTTTTTTAACTGATTCAGTGAGCAATACTTTTATTTCTAATGCTTATATTCATGGTATTTTGTGAGTCAGTCCAATTTTTTCGGAAGTTCAACCTTCGAAAATGATAGCAATTTGAACATAGTTGTATGAATCATGTCAACAATTTCATGTTTTACTGTCAGATTGTATAAAGTAAAGCATGATTTTGTCAGGAAAGATCTATCTCCTCCCTAGAATGGATAGCACCTGATTTGCTCTGTGAGAACTATATTTATAATGAGTGAACATTTGTCACATCATTTGCATACAATATATCATAATTTTAATATGGTATATTAATAAATGAATAAACAGATTATTTTAGATTTACTGCATATAGAATCTTTCTTATTTCTCTAGCCTTTAAAACGTGCATTTGTTTTGTGAGGCCCTATTTTCTTTCTACAAATTAGTATATTACAGTATTCTAATGTAAATGTATAAATTAAAATGAATATATTTTGGTTTTAAGTTTAATTATAATTTTGCTTTTTCAGGGAGTCGAGATACGGAGGAGCGTCCAGTCGTGTTCATCTTTACCAATAGTTCCTTGTGGCAGAACCAACAGGTGCCCAGTACAGAGTTAGCCAGACTCTTGATGTATTACAGGACTGTACCCAGGTATGTCAGGAAGGCAGCTTGCCTCCATTCACTCAACCCCTCTTCCTCTCTTGCGAATCAGTGCACATGTAAAGATATGTGATACCCATGTATCTGTTTTGAAGAAATCACTCCTCACCAAAACTGAATAAGTGGTGTGTCACAGTGTGGACATTACATCTTAAGATCAATGTAGGGAGCAAATTTCATTTGAAAGTTTGATTAAAATATAGAGTTGACTGAAAATAATTAAAATCATATTGGTATCAAAATTTTCTTTATATACAGTTAAATTACTCCATGACACACTGACAAATCTCTACATCTGTGGTGAAAAATGATGAGAAAGGTCAAAGAGGTAATAAGTTTTTCTATTTACTAATTGTTTGTTTATCTTTACAGGGAGGAAATTCGTATGAGAGGGGTAACCATTGTAGCAGTGATACAGGGTGCAACTACTTCCATTATCAATACTTTACTGGAGAGTCTATACTTATTTGAGGTAAAACATTGATAAATGTGATGGTCAAAACTAATAGAGCTAAAGTAATTTTGTAAATATTATCTTGTATTAAGATAACTGTGCATTTTTCTTCACATTTCCTGTGCTATTTCTTCCTATGAAAGTTGATACTTTTTATGCAATCTTATAGCTTCTGTTTTATATGACAGGGGAACTGTCCTGGTGGTATCGCTGTGTTACATTTCCTGGCAGATGCCTATACTCAACCATTACTTCAGATGTCACCTGTATTTGACTCCCAGACACCATTTAAGGTAAAGACCCTTTAAATTTTTATCAAGAAAGACAATTCATGTGAGCATTGTGTAACTTTTTGTGTTCATTCATATTTTTTGTTTCTTAAAGCTGGATGTTCTTCTAGCCCCCGAGTTACTACAAGAGTTCATTCCCTTGGACCAACTTCCATTAGATTTAGATGGTCTTTACATGTATAATCATGAGGAGTGGATCCGATTTCATGTGGTATGAATTCTCATTGTATAGAAAAAATACATATACATCACATTTCCCTATTTATAAGTGTGAGAAAGTTTTATCAGCAGGGAGCCAAAAGTTAAGTGGATCTTAAAATAATTAGCTTATTAATTAAATTGTTTTCAGCTTAAAACTAAGTATATTTCATTTATACAGGAATTGGATCCATTTATGAGCAAAATAAGAAATGTAGCTAAATATCTGATGGTCACCATGCAAGATCTCAGCGAGCCTCAGGTCATGCCAGTCTCCACACAAGAAGCTCGACATCTCATTGAGCATCACGAGCAGACCATGAGGACGGCGTTCAATGATCCGCGACTGATCTCACTCCAGAATGAGGGCGAGTCGGTCATCAACTGCCTCAGGAGGATGGATGCTCACATGGGACATTCTGAAGACTACAGGTAAGCTAAATATCAGAGACACTATTTTTATTCTTAAAAGATTTGTTTTCTAAATCATATTGTTACATTTTTATGACAATCTTAAGAGATTTTTTTTTTCTAATTTGAGCTGAATCAACACAAAATTAAAATCTTTACTGCCTGCATGGGGAAAATATAGATTAGAGTTTCAGATAAAATAGCTAAAAAATTATTTATTTATCTATTTATTTTTATTTTATCAATAAGGAATAATTCAACACTTTTTTCAATCTATCTGTAGAACTTGTATGAACATGATTGAATCACACCTAAGGATTAATTAATTATAGAGTATTGGGAACATACAGAGAATATGTCACTAATTAATTGACCCAGCTGCAGGTCGGCTAGGTCACTGTTACCTGCATGTCAGAAATCAGGGCAATATGTCTTCCTCTTTCAGGGATCTGATGGAGTCTGTGAACCGATTGTATGATAACCTGAACAGCACCATGGTGAAGCTGGTTCACATCGCTGATAACCGGCTCTCCAAGCTTGAACATTGCCAGCAGCTCAGAGAGTTTGAAGAAGAGTGCACAAAGGTCAGTACATATTGGGGTAGCTTGGATGTTTGATGTGCATCATTCAACCTTGGGAAAAAACTGAAATAAATATACAAAGGGTGGATTTGGCTGTATAGTGTACTTTAATGATGACTCAAGTTTATCTTATTATATACCTTCTATGTGCAGTTATGATTTAATTTCTAAGCTTAGAAGAAATGATATTTCTTCCATCTGCAGTTCAAAGTAGAAGAAATAAAGCATTTCATATGCTTATTAATAGATTAAAAAGGTACCCTAAATTAGATGATTCTTTGGCCTTGTTACTAGCTACCTGTCTAACTTTGATGCTAATTAGTGTACCAAGATGATCTATACTTTCAGTACACTACACTCATAAAAAGAAGTCTTACAATTATTTTTAACTCTGAGGGCTTTTGAAAATTTTATATTTTTGTCAGTTTGAATTAGGGAAACAGACTGGGGTCAGTAGTGAAAGAAAATTTAATTTGACAAATTAAATTATATTTTTAGGATTATATTATTTTGTCAATTTCTTTCAAAGAACTAGCTCTCTGTAGATTCTGCACCAAGAAATAGCTGTCTTTTGGTTACAGTGCAGGGGAAATTTAGCTAATCAAGTGACAGAGCAGAAAACTGAGAAATATTGATTGTTGCTAAAAACTGGGCTTCTGTATAAAAGGATGCATTTCATGGGACATGTGGTAATTTTTACCAATACCTGTAGGCTGTTGGAAAGGAATTAATGTAATTTTGTACAGGCTTATTGTTGAGAAGTGAAGAAGAAGGCAGATTGTGGAGAAAATAACTGAATATAAGTGTAACAAGCACCTGCTAAAAGCACCTGCAGCAGTGAAGGTGTATACAGAGAAGTGATACCTCAAACAATAGATAGGTATCCCACCAAGTGATAATTGTTGTTATTATATCACTGTGATGATGAACATTTGGAGTTCAAAGGAAAGGGAATTGATAGCTCAGAGGGATTATTAAATGGTTTACTTACCTGAAAATTCTAGGTAGAAAGTTAATTAGTGTTTTGCCATGGTGGGATTTCAGATAGTAAATAGGATGAATTTGGAACTATGTTGATTAAAGGTAGAAATCATTCTTTATTGATAAACTATACGTACAATTTACATTGTATTTATTCTAATGAATGAGGGGGGAAAGTTTCAACTTTAGATACCTCATGTTGCATTTTTTTAAGATCATATTTTTCTCAAATAAACTTATTTCCATATTGCTGTGATATTAAGTATTGATATGAAATTTGTATGATTGGAAGTTCGAAAAATTTAATATTAATTATGAAAAAGTTATCATCATTTATGTCATTTAGCAGTAGATATCTTGATGAAAGGACATGATAGTGCATTTTCATATCTTGATTAGGTTGTTTTCAGTTAACAAAATAAAAGAACATTAAAAAAAAAAAGTAGGATTAATTTTGTTCCCATTTTTAGATTAGAAAAATTTTAATACATTTACACTAAATAATATCAGTTTTCTACACGCAATAAGTAAATTAATTATTAAAGAAATAGATTTTAATTAGTGTTTTGAACAGATTCCCCAGGAGCATTTTTAATTAAAACAAGGTGAGGGTTTTATATGAATAAGTACATGTATTACAAAATAATTAAAATTATACATAATAAATATGCTATTGCTACTTGTAAAAAAATCATTTAATGCCATATGCTCTTATTGTAAATTGTTTAATACCTTATTAAGAATTTTTTTTAATATACCATGTAATGTATATTAGATGAGAGAGGATATCAATTCCTGATTTATCTGACCTCATTAGGTAAATCTTATCTGAGGTAAAAAGCTGAGGAATGCGTTAATGAATCTGGTGATTTATCACACAACATGGAGGCTCGGACACATGGCCATTGATACGGCCAATCAGTCTGAAGGGGAGCCAAGAAGTGCTAATGATGGCCTCTAACAGATAGTTAATTTCACATGCACATACTGCATGTACCTGTCTGAGGGAATCCATCTGTGATTTAATGATAGCTTGGGTGAAGGATGGGAAACCTCTATAAAAAATTCTAAAAAAAAAAATTGTGTGGAAAAGAATTGAAGTTTGCACAGTGGAATTACCAAATGTTGTTGAGTTGTTATTGATATTTACCAGTCTGCCTGACAATTATGAGAGCATGTTAAGATTTCAAACAATGTATATAAACATGCCTTGATGCTGATGAAATATTTTGTGTATTTTTTATCTTTGATGTAGTAAATAATGGGTGTGTTACTCTAAACAATCTGGTCAAAGGTCAAAATAATGAAACAAAAAGGCTACACATCTTGCTTGCCACTTACAGCATAGACCTCTCCTATATATACCAGGCTGTATGTTAACAGAGTCTGTTCTCTTTGAAGTGAAACACCTGTATCAGGTATTCATCAGGTACAGGTGTCACTCAGAAATGTGGACAGAGGACACAGTGTTCTGGAATTTTTTGTGTGAGAAGGTTTAGATGTTAGGAGGTCTGGTTATGATGCAAGAAGGGAGACAGTTATCTGTGTATTGATGGGAAAAGGGACATACCTGTAGAAATGTGATTACTCATTACGAGGGACATTGAAGTTTATTGTGGGTATGTAGAATTATTGGCTAGTTCTGAAAATGTATTATCAAGAGACCTAGAGATGAGGAAAATGAGAAACTGATAATTTCTTTGTAGCAGATCAGCTGTGGATTATGAAACCCTGCACCACAATTTTTCATACCAGAGGTGTTCTTAAAAAGATGTTGAAAACCCCATGAAACCTCTCAGTGTGTTTATAGCTAATGGCCAAGAACACACAACCACCTGTGTAATGCTGTTAATGTTAGTTAGATATTTTATTGCTTGGTGGTGAGCTTGGTAAGAAATATTACTTATAATTTGGATAGGAATTCAAGCAGCTTAGATCTTTGTGTAAGATATAGTAAGTGTGTTTTAATCTTTGTTGTATATTCTCATCAGAAACAAAAATTGTTTAAGTACTACCAAGTAGCAGACACAATGAACTATTTCCATTTTGTAAGTATCATGATTTTTTGCTTGTTGATGAGAATGAGACTTATCAGGGTACTACGTTTCTATTTATAGATTATAACCTGGACAGAGAGGACCGGTGAGGAATCCCTCCAGAGACACGCCCATCTCGGGGACAACCTCAAGGCCATCCGTGGGCAGCAGAAAGAGTTTGACAAATTCTACTTCTCTGCAATGGTAAGACTTCAAAAATATAAAGCATGATACACTGTATGTTGTCTATAAGCATATGAATTGATCTAACTTTGTGTATGATTTAAGTTATTGGATCAATCTTTCAATGAATTTGTCATACATCAAGGAAATTTAGTGGCAGATATAAAAATGACAATCTTTTGCTACAGGCTCATTATTAATGTTCATTTGTTCAGCTTGGCCTGATCTTGCATAGAATAGCTTTTCCTTCCCACATTACCTTTCTGATCACATATATTCTAAAAAAAAAATTGTCAGTTATATATGGCAGCAGTATGGTTTGTTTTATTATCATGCACTGACGACTGTAATGTGTATTGTACAATCTGGGCAACATACCTGATATACATTGATATCTGATTGGGTAATTTTTTTCACATACCCTCTAAAGATAAACTGAAATTAATTTTGGCAATATTTTTGCAATTTTTTTTCATCTTATTCTTCACTGCAAACTTGGTTTTTGTTGACAGCAGAGCATCGTTTTCTCTCTTGCATCATTTCATCAACATCACATGTGATTGAAAGTTGCAATGAATCATATGTTTAAATGCATTTATTTCTTTGATTTATCTAGCAGATTTTATTTGCAAAACTTAACAGTTGTGTAATCATAAAACATTATAAAACATATGTTTTCTGTGGATTTTTATTTTGATACATGCTAGGATTAGAAGGTTTTATATTTTGTCTTTCAAATTCTGCTGATCAAAGAAAACAGCTTGCAGTATCATTCCCAGTGTGGGGTCCAGCAAAACTCATTGCAGGAAACAACAAGCTGTTATAATTACAGCGATGCTTATCTAACAATACAATAATTACTGGGTTTTATTTTCACTATATTCCCTACTGTGTAATTAATGTGCAGCTAAACTATTAACAGTAGGGGGCATTTTTTGAGTTTTTGGAGGAAAAAATTGTGTTGTGAGCACAAAATCCTTTCTGAGGGTCAATCTATATCTAAAAACAAAGAACCATGAACCATAAAATCACATATTTTCGAAGGGTCAAATTTTCAAGGTTTTAGGAAAAAATATTGGTATGTGGGGAATTAATTTCGTGGTTGAAGATGTTTAGTATGTAATGCATATGAAATTTTACATTTCGCAGTGGTAATAAATTCATGGGTCTTTCAATACCCCAAAAAACAATGAAAATTAAACCCCCACAAAAACTAGTGATTTCACATTATTTTGTTTGTTTACAATCTCTGTTTGGTCTGGCTCTGCATCTCAGATAAACACAAAGACAGGAAAGTTTCCCTCACGGTTGCACGGTTGCATCAGAAATCAAGTGGAGTTTACATAAAAGAAAAATAAACAGTTATGGCACAAAATTAGTGAGTGAAAACTAATCTTGTAAAGAAGCTGCCACATCTTGAGCCTCTGTTTTTATTGGACTTATCTCCTGAGCTGCTTACATTTTCTGGCTACTCCACATGGGGTCACATTATGATGCTGGCATTACAGACCCTCCCCCCTGACAACACTGCCCTCTGGTGGTGAAATATGAATTTTCAGTTTTGCTAATTTCTATGGGTGGGGACATCTGATGTTTAATGTTTGATCTTGATTCCATCTGTTCCTGATTATCTCTCAGATAAACACAAGGAGTTCTGAAGACTTTCATAAGTTTTTTTAATGCTCCGAGCTATGAGGCATGTTTAGTATTAGTCATTGGGATGCTTGCAGTGAGAGGTGCATTACTGGAGAAACTCACTTTGGATTAGAGTTGATGAGCATTTCTTCTATAGTGTGTGGTGTTGTGTCATTACATTGAATTTCATTGTTTCTCTGTTGTGGAAATATTCTGTTCTTGTGAAAAATTTAATTAAAGAGCCATGGGAAAATTCCCTGTACATTGGATTACAAAGAAGTTTAAAAAGTCTTTCTCTTTTTTCCCGCTTTTCTTATGTAAAGTTAGGATTTTATTCCTGGGGATGGTAAGATATTTTTTATGTTGAAAAAACTTTTTCTTCTTTGTTGATTATATGTATGTCTTTTACATACTGCTTTTCAAAAAAAAAAATAATAATAATAATAAATTTTTATTTTGTTGTGTGTTTTGAAAATTTGTTGAAAAGTTGTTCCCTTATGATTTAACAAGAATTAAAAAAAAATTAAAGTAATTGGGGTTTTTTTTCTCTTTAAGTAAAGCAGATTAGTGAATCATCACCAATGTTCAATTTGAATATCCAGGTATTGACACCAACATAAATATGACTTATTAGAAAAAGATGTTCAGACCTATATAAATAAGTACATGTACCACAAACAATGTATTTTTTAAAAACTTACATTTTCTTCTTGATTTTTAGGGATGTGCGATTTTATCAGGTATACCGGTATATCACGATTTTTATATATAATTTTAAAAAAATACCGGTATTTAAACATATTATATAGTTTAAAATTAATTTATTTGTTTCATCTTTCAAATTACAATTATAGAAAATCAAAAAATATAATTGTAAAAGGTGATGTCAGCAAGTTCAAAAAATGATTTTTTATGTACCTAAACATTTCAAAAAAGTGAAATTTTGTTTTTCTAGCATATTTTTAAGAAAAATAATTAATAATTGTCAAAATAACAACTAATTAACATTCTCATTCCTGCTAAGATCTGGTGAACCATCAATTATTCAAGTCGAGAAAATATATATCACAAATACTGAAATCGTCAAAATTATTAAACCTTTCAAATTAATAAACCTTTCATATTAATTTCTGACAAATTTTTTTGATGATATTAAAGACTCTTAGCATTAATACACTTCCTTCCCATGTGACTTCATTGACCATAAAAATTAGAGATTTTATGCCATACTCCTTGATTAAGTAAAGCCTATAGCAGTTAACAAAATGTACAATTTTTATCTATTTGTGGACAGTCTTGGCCAGATTCTGAGGAGCTCTTTTATTGATTTCAGACCCACATAGAAAAGGGCAATGATCTTCTGGACGAGGCTAGCATGCTGGCTCAGTCTGGAAACTTTGACGAAGCCACCGGTTACAAGGAGCTGGCCCGCACGCTCAAAAAACATCTACAGTCCTTTACTTCACGGCTGGAGGACACCCGGGAACAGATTGAACGGACCTCTAAATGTTACCAGCTCCTGGATAGGGTGAGTCTAGTAAAGCTTACTGAGATGCAATTTATAGATTGCCTTAGTAAAGATGAAAAGGCAGGTCAAAACAGGGAGCGTGAAAAAGAATGAAAAGGTTAATTATCGGTATTTCACATCTAATTTTAAAGGAATTATTATTGGAAAAGAAAAGAGTGAAATTGGAATTTACACATTTTTTGATAATGTTAATTAATGATAATGATTGATACTCCAAAGTGTTAATTTAATTATCATGTTGGATTTTTCAGACATATGAGTGGGCTTTAGATGCTATGAAGTATGTAGCAAGTATGAAAATGGAACACTGTGAAACATTGAGCGGACTGGATAAGTTACTACGGAGCTTGGATCTGTATCTGAGGGATCATCCTGTTATGAAACCAGAAACATTCACGTACATGTTTGATTTAGCTGAGAAGCTACAAAGTGAAAAAATGCTGGAACAGTGTCGTGTGGCCAAGGAGCGCTGTGATGAAACACAAAAATTATTAACGTTAAGACAGTGTACATTAAAACGTGCAAGAGAGAAACTTGTAATGGAAGAAAGGGAGAACACTCCCTCTGAAAGCAGGAAATCCTCTGTGAGGGAACTATCTCCTGCAGGTAGTGCTGTGAATTCTGGGAAATTTCCCGTACCCCAGGAGTCAGTGTGGGAGCCTCAGTCCTCTAGTACCCCCCTCAGACAAGTGAAACCCCACCCTGAACTACGCAAAAGTGTGTCAGATCGTTTCCTCAGGTCTCAGTTACCCCGGGAAGATTTCTACACACAGGACATGTCAGACCGTATAGTGACGGCTTTACCTAAGTCCCTGATTGATTCTCGACTGGGGTCCTCCAGGGAGGATCTCAGTGAGTCTGCGAGTGACATGGCTAATGCCTCCCCCAGTCATACCTACAAATCATCCCCCATTCATTCAATGTCCCCCATCTTGGCCAATTCTACCTCGACCCTGCCCTTACATAACAGACCTCAGAAGAAGATCATCAAGCGCGCCCCCACCGTGCCCTTACCAGGTAACGTCATCATGGAGGAGGAAGACCTCATCATGGACCGAAACCGTCCTTTGTGGAGTAAAAGCCAGGATCCACGCCCCATCAGTATGATCACTGCCAGTTCTGACAGCTTATCAAGGTAAGAACCCCTAAAGTTATTCTCACCACTAGGACAATATTTCATTACCGTTCTCCTCTAACTGAAATGTTAAAAATTTTTATTTAGTTATTTGAATGGATTTTCATGGTTGAAAGGCCAGCTGACCAATCTATAGGGAAAAAAACATTTACCTATCTACACAACTTTACAATTGAGGTTCGGTTTATACATAGTATATGTTTAATAATGGCCTGATCTCTATTACTTCATGTTTCATGGTGAAAAATACTATGCAATGTCATTTGCTATGGTGGCAGCTAAGTATTACATTCTATGTATTTCTTACACATTGGATTTACCGGGGTATTATATGAGGAATCATTTGGAAAGTTCATAAAACTACTTATAACACATTAATTCTTAGCCAGAGGTAGCCTTGTGAAGTGGAATCATAAATTGATCAGGATTATTGTGTTATGAAAATGTTTGGTAAACATTGTGCAATTAATAAAAACAAAAACATTTTAAATGATATCAACGTACAGGTTATTTTCTCCAAGTTTTTATGAACCACAGGCAAAGTTATTAGCATGTTCAACAAAATGTGCAATTAAAAATATTAAGATAATTATTAAATGATATGAAAGCAACTAACAGGATATTTCTTGGTGTTTTTATGAACTTATACAACCAATCATCTGATTTTATCAGAGGAAATCATTACGGCTTAAATCTCACTTAAATCCAGTATAGCATACTGACAGAGCTGCTTGTCTATAAAATAATAACAATTCCATCTCTATTGGAGTAGAGGCGTTTTCTTTCTATTGATCTGTATACCAAAGCTAAAGAGTTAGAGGAAGTTTGTGTTATCTCAAAGTAGGCCAACCAGTGGGAATAACATTCTCTTCATGTGGTGTGATTAGTGTTCATTTTCACCAGAGTCTTCAGTGGTTTCTTTTTATTGCCTGATACAAATTTTTTTTTGGTAGAAAAGCAGCAAAAAACAATTTGTCTGTTCCACACATCAAAAGAATTTTTTATTATTGATAAAAATCCTTCAGCATTCCTATATGATTTTTTTCCTCTCAAGGTTGTTATATGTATCTTTCTAATTTTAGCCTCCCTGAGGAGGAAGAGAACCAGGCCCCTGAGGGGGACAACCCACCCCCTGTCCCCCCTCTCCCCCAGCACTGGGCCCCTGTTCCTGTCAACACACACCTCACATCCATGCCAGCTGTATCAGAACTTAAGCTGTCCAGTACGGAGAAAAGTAAAAGGTAGGGACAAAATAAACAGCGCTAGAATATAAGTAAATAGTTGTTAAGTTTCTTCTTTTCTAACTGATAAGTTCACAAACAAGTGTGCATTGCATATTGCAATTTAATTTTCAAAATTTTGACTAAAGATGTCTAATATTAGTGTAAATTTAAAGTTTAATGCAAGAAGGCTGTACATTTAAAATTTCATTTTAATGCCAGATGAATTAAGGTGCAAATTTTCTTTGTTCACATAGGACTTTGTGCCACATCATGAGAGAGATGGTACAAACCGAGAGGGATTATGTCCTTTCCCTACAGTACGTCATCGAAAACTACATCCCCGAGCTTCAGCGGCCCGATGTACCACAGGCTCTGAGGGGGAAGGGCAGCATCATTTTTGGGAACATTGAGAAGATTTATCAGTTCCACCGTCAGTACTTCCTGAGGGAGGTGGAGCGGTGTGAGAGAAACCCATTCCAAATCTCACATTACTTCCTCATGCATGTAAGATTATAAAATGTTTCATTCAAGGTGGATTTCTTTTTTCACCTTGTGTCAAACATCAAAATTGATTGATCTGATGATTTTAATATACATATCTATGCTTGATTTACATACAACTAAATTTTCTTTTAATCTTTATAGGAGGCACAATTTTACCTCTATGCTCTCTACAACAAAAACAAACCAAAGTCTGATATGTTGATGGCAGAGTATGGGAAACACTTCTTCAAGGTAAGATACTGTTGTCATTCTTTAAGAGACATTACAAAAAAAAAATTCACTGTTATGAAATGTACGTTTTTTGTATATTTACTTATTTATTATGTTTATGTGCTTGTGGGTACATGGATTTTTGGTTTCTTATAACAGGATAAACAGGCAAAATTAGGGGACAGGATGGACCTAGGCAGTTATCTGCTGAAGCCAGTACAGAGAATGGGGAAATATGCCCTCCTACTGAAACAGATCATGAAGGAATGTCCCCCATCAGACCAAGAATTCCAGGATCTCAGGGTCAGTTTTCACTAAAGCATTCACTAGTAGAAACTAAACACCTCTTTTATTTAAAAGGCATGAACAGAAAATTTTTCTATTTTGCTGGAATAAAATATTTTGAAAGCAAATTTTCTATGTTTCTCTTTGAACATATTCAATGACCTTTTACATTTGTATTACAGGCAGCTGAACAAATGGTCAAGTTCCAACTACGCCATGGAAATGATCTCCTAGCTATGGACTCCCTGAGAGAATGTGATGTAAGAACTTTAAGAATACAGATATTTGTTCATGCATAGATCAAAGTTTAAAATAGAAAAGATTAAAACAAAAAAATTAAAATGTCATTTTTCAATCTTTTTGAATCATTAGGTAAATCTGCAAGAGCAAGGGAGGTTACTGCGACAAGATGAGTTTATTGTTTGGCAGGGGAGAAAGAAATCCTTACGCCATGTTTTCCTGTTTGAAGATCTTATTCTGTTCAGTAAAACAAGGAGGGGTAGAAATGGGGGACCAGACAGCTATCTCTACAAATTTTCCTTAAAGGTAGGCAAATTTTGTTATATCTACATGTACATTTTATGCAAAGAAATGACAGATACTTGTGGTTTAAGATGATAGTGAAATACAATGTACTGGCATTTATTAAAACAAAATTACCAATTTTAGATGGGAGTGCCTATTATTTTGAAAACTTTTACACCTTGGTGGTTTTTTAAAGCCCTTTATTACTGGTAGTACTTATCACATACATGTGTCCTCATTAAATGTAAATATTGGTTGATTTTGTTTGACAGATGGCAGAAGTGGGACTGACAGAGAATTACGGGGACACAGGATACAAGTTTGAGATCTGGTTCCGTAAGAGGTCACGGGGGAGCTACATCCTGCAGGCCCAGAGCTCTGACGTCAGGCATCACTGGGTGAAGGAAATCTCTAGAGTATTGTGGAATCAAGCCATTAAAAACAGGGGTAGGTAGAACAGGATCAGTGGAGTGTGGAAAAACTCTTAGAAATATTAAATTCAAATGTGTTTGAAAAAGGTTAAAACAATTTGCTTTTCTTTTTTTCAGAAAAGCATATGTCTGAGATGGCTACAATGGGAATAGGAAACAAACCATGTTTGGAAATCAAACCAAGTGCAAACCAGATTAACGATCGATTTATTAATGTGGCATCTGGCAACTTCCAGTGTAAGTTTCAAACTTAGCATGTACTTTTTCCTATCATCATTTGTTAGCGTATTTTTTTTCTGTATAATGTATATTTCTATAATCAAATGTTTCTAAAAGTTATCTGAAGATATATACTATTTAATTTTTTCCATAAGTCTCTGTATAAAGATTCAATAACTATGCATTATTGATATGAATTATGTTTTTGCATTGTATTTAAAATATCTGCCTTGCATACCTCTGATGTGGTACCCTCAGATGTATTCATCTGTATATATACTATTACAGCACGTACAAGGAACTCCATAGCTGTATCCTCCTTTGATCACATGTACCAGAACAACAAACGCCCCCACTCCATCATCTCTGTCAGCAGTACCTCCTCCTCTAGTAGTAGCCACTCGGGGGCCTTCTACCCCCAGCACCTGACCCAGGACAGCTCCAGGACCAACTATCTCTCCAATGGTAAACTCAGCTACAGTCTTATCAAAAGGGAGATAATTAATCGTGAATATTTATTGCATTTGTTTGCATTGTAATACAATATTCTTGTACATGTTATGCATATTAGCAGCATTCTTGTCATAAGGGAGAAAATCCTGGATATATATTGAATGCCTTTTAGCTATTGTTATACAATATTCTTATAATGTACAGTGTATTGGAGAGAGTGGATGTTTAAATTGTGGATTTATTATTCTAAGCTCATACTTTTAGTTTGAATGATTTTTTTTTGTGGCCTTTGTATAATTTTGTTCCAAGATTGATATTTTTTTGAACTTTTTACTTTCAGAAAGTGGGATAGGAACAGATATTTCATCAGGAGAGGACCATGGAGCTAAATATTATGACCAATCAGAAAGAGGCATAATGCTTACAAAAGAACCAATGATCAATAAGTCAGAACTGTTTAGTGACACCATAAGCACGGATGTAAGAATTTATTTTTAATAAAAATCACTTGTGAAATTCCAAATTCTATAAAATGGATAATTTGAAACTTATTCTCATTATTGTCATTTCAGGTGTGAGGGAATCTGGATTTGTTCTTAGTTTTCACCAAAAGGAAAGAAGATTCTTAAAAATCCAAATTGCATAAATTGTGCAATAAAAAGGCACAGAGCCATGGAGAAATACACTGGTGCCAAAAGATACAGTTCCTGACTAAAATCATCTCTAACTGAACCAGTTGAGACTTTTACATGTGTAAACTGATACAGTTGGTTTTGAATTAAAACATCAGATACTATTTTCAGTATGAACTGCGATAGCTAATTTTGGACTTAATGCATAACAAGAAGGGTTTTCTTTTGTCAGTTTCGTTTTTTCGTCGTGGCTAAAGGTGATCCAATATGAACATGCATAGAATCCATAAAAAAAAGCACATGCATCAGCTTACTGGAGGCTTCTATAAGCTGTAGATTCTGTTAGTTAGTGGGAGCATTCATTTGACATGGGAACAAATAAATTTCTTTGGAGTTTTCATAAGACCATTGGAAATAGGAAGATTTAAAACTCAGTTGAGTCCTAACTCTACAAAAGTACATTGATACTGCTGAATAAGGTGCTATATTTGTCATTGTTTTCATCATCTTTGTTATAGGATTAGGTTGTATTACTTAAAACAAAGAGAACAGATCTGTAGTAGCATTTTATTTGCTTGTTTGAACAAATTTCACTAGTTCAACAGAAAATTCACTCGTTATTTTTCTACCTCATCCATTTTATAGACAGACATACAGACACTGAAGGAATCAATTTGTCATTTATTTTGTATGGCCATAATGACTGCTTGTTTGTGTATTACATACTTTATTATGGCAGTTGTACAGTGTTGTTGTTATTTATTATCAATGTAATATTTTATATTTCAAGATTAACATTATTTAATCAATACTTATGCATTTGCCAAAATAATAATTGTACAAATTATATCAAATAAATATTTAAAAACTTGTACAATATATTCATCTTTTAACTTTTATCTTATTGATGGATGTGTGGGTTACTAGTATGTACCTGCTATTAAATGAGTGGTTGGTGTCTCAGTTGCAAAGAAAAGTGGCCAGGTGATTTGAATTGCTCTTTTTTGGGTTGACCTACTGAGCCACATGACCACATTGACAAGTCTGCTGATATATCTGTAAAAAAAACACCTACTTCCTATGATCAGTTATGAAGGCTTACAATTAATAAGAATTATTTTGATTCTGACACCACAATCGCAAATTTTTCAAGGATGTGTAACAGTTTTTACCACTCTGACTTCCATTTATAGGTCAAGGCCATTGACATAAATGACTCATTTAGCAGTATACAGTATCAGTACACAATCTTGAACTCAAGGCACAAATCATAAATTGTTACATATTGTCTCTTGATGGTGATGCACATAAGCCTGGGATGGTTTTTGTGCATTTAATTTCAAAGGTCAAGGCAAAAATTCTCTATTTCATCAACATTAACATACATATACTTTATTTAAAATTGCTACACTTTACATAAGTCTCACAAAGATTGAAATAATTTCCCTATCAAATAATGACCATATGCTCGGACTATTACACTTTAATTAAACCTAGAAGCGTAAAAATATATATTTAAAAAAAAACATGGAGCATATAAATCATTTTATTGGAAAAATGTTATCACATTAATTTGCGAGTAAGTTTAACATCTTATTTTAGAAATAATTTAAAGTAATCAAATAAAAACGATAGTGCAAGTTTGAAATTTACACTTTATTGTCCTGTAGCTAAAAATATATATTTAAAAAAAAACATGGAGCATATACCTTAAAAATACACTGAAGGACTACAAAAGATAAACTTATGATAATACAACTATATGCCAAAATCTTAATATTTTATTTAAGTGGGTACCCAGGGAAATTCACCATGTACCTTGAATATGAAATATACCAGTGAAATATATAACCCCCAGTGCCTACTGTTCAAAAGCTGTGGTAAGGTTATTTTTTTTATAAGTAGGTCAAACTCAACAGTGAAGTCGAACTGTCAAAATTGTTGAGATCCAAAGGAGGGTCGTGTCGCAAGGAATATACCTGTGAAATACGTCACAAGGAATATACCTGTGAAATATGACAATTGACAATTCTGTTATGTATTGTTCAAAAGTTCTGGTGAAGGTAAAAGTTTTCAACAATCTAATTCAGTGAACCTGTGTCCCCCGATGAAGGAAAAAAAGATAATGTGCTGACCTGCTGGGGTGGGGAGGGGGGGGGGTCGAGTGGGGATTGGCCACTTTAAGAAGGGCGAGAGGGGCATAGGGATTGCATTTAAAAAAAACTCAAAAGCTTCCCGAAATATCTCCCGGAAATGAAAGTTTTGCACACACGCACACAATGTATGAATTTACGACCTTGACCTTTGACCGTTTGACCTTAAAATCAATATAGGGGTCTCCCTTAGGCCATAGAGCTCTGGTATAAAATGTCATAGCAAAAGCTCAAAGGCTTCTCCAGATGTCGCGCGGAAACGAAAGTGTTAAAAAACAATTAATTTATGACTTTGACCTTATGACCTCAAGGACAAAAAGAATCTTCTTTAGGCCATAGGTAGTTATTGTATAAAATTTTCATTGCAAAAGCTCAAAGGCCTCGCGAAATCGCGTGGAAATGGAAGGTTACAGATAAATAGACAGACAAACCGAAATTAATATCCCCACTTTCAGCGGTAGACAAAAAGTGGGTCAAACTCTAGGTAAAGGTCTATAGGTCAAAAATATCTATACCCACTGAAAGGTCTTGACTCAGTAAATACTCATGATGTGAAGTAGTCAAAAGTTATGGTAAAAATTAAAGTTTGGTTATTTTTTGCAATAATGGGTAAAACTCCATGGCCATATGGTCAAGAGGTCTTGGTATCCAAAGAAAGGTCTTCTTACATGGAATACACCTGACTGTGAAATATTATAAATTGATTGATTGTGTGTTGTTTAACGTCCTTCTCGAGAATTTTTCACTCATATGGAGACGCCTTCACTTGCCGTTTGAGAGCTGCAAATTTTGTCTTATACTCGGCACTCAGGGCCATTGAACAGCTATAGGAATCTTTTTTGTGCCAGCTCCTACTCCGACACGGGACCTCGGTTTATACGGTATCATCCGAAGGACTGGTCTCCACGTCCCACCGTGGGATTCGAACCCGCGACGTAAGAATTGACTCCTTACTTCGCTACTGTAGAGCAGACGCTCTAACCACTGCGCCACGCGGGCGACTGTGAAAGCCAAAGCGCCATAGACTCAAAAGTTAAGATTAGAGCTTTGCGAACAAACAGACAAATAGCTAGGCAAACGAACGGACAGGGCAAAAACTATATATTCCCGAATCTTCCATTACAGAGGCATAACACACACACACACATGCTTAAAAGATATTAGTACTAAAATCTTGTCGATATTTCCTACAAGTTACACAGTATTTTAAGATACGTCATAAACTAATACTGTAAACCAACTTTTATTCGCGTGCGAGAAATTTTCTTCGCGATAGCTCTCTCGAAAAATATATAATCTCTATTGATAGAACAGTCTATCAATATAGGCTTGATCACGAAAGTCGTCGCGAACTAGTTTACTCTCGGTAAATCGCGAAATAAAGTCGTCGCAAATAAACTAATATCCGTTTCGCAAGAAAGCTGAACAACCACCCTTTTCTGTTGGATACCATCTTGCTAAGGGGCCGTTATATACGACCAAAAATGACCCCTTCGGAATATAGACGAGGGTCATTTTTCTCCGTAGAAATTTGAACCCCCCCCCCCATTTTCTACGTGGGTCACTTCTTGTCGTTATAATTTGAAGCCCATTGGTGCCCCCCCCGCCACATCCGCCATTTTCTACAAAATTATGTGGCGGCCGCCACTTGTATATCTGGCGGCCGCCACAAAATTATGTGGCGGTCGCCACTTATTATTTGGCGGCCGCCACTTATATATCTGGCGGCAGCCACTTAATATATAGCGGCCGCCACATAATTTATATGGCGGCCGCCACATAGTTTTTCTGGCGGCCGCTATATAATATCTGGCGGCCGCCACATATTTTTCTGGCGGCCGCTATATAAATTCTGGCGGCCGCCAGTTATTATTTGGCGGCCGCCAGTTATAAAATTTATGGGTGCCAGATATATCTGGCGGCCGCTACATTTGTTTTTATATATATTTCCTGAATCGCGCGCATGTTTTAATGTGTGGTTTACAGTGTAAAAATTATAATAGCAACATCAATCAACCAAACTTGTAAGAGATTTATTATGTAAAATTCACACTTCTAATAGATATGTTTTTGCATAGAGCAGATTAATATTTGATTTGAATTATGCTTTAAAAAATGGGTCACGGACATAAATCATGGTGTTTGCTGTAAGCTATGATTGGTTGAGAAGTTTTGCATTTTGGATTTCCAAGAATGGTTTTTTCATTCGTTTTTTATCATTTACTTTTTTATCAATAAGGCGGTTGTGTCAACATCCATCCTCTGAATCCAATAACACTCACATTTTGCAAAATAATTTATGTGGCGGCCGTCAGATATATAAGTGGCGGCCGCCATATAAATATTTAGCGACCGCCAATTAATTAAGTGTCGGCCGCCAAATAATACATTAATAAGTAGCGGCCGCCAGATATATATGTGGCGGCCGCCAATTAATAAGTGGCGGCCGCCAGATAAAATAATTTTCATACGTGGCACCAATGGGCTTCCGTAGTATTCTCTTTGTCCGGTGTACGTTCTTTTGCTGCAGTTATAAAATTTATGGGTGTCAGAATAACATTTGTTTGTAAATATTTAAGTACACGTATACCACGGAGTAAAATTCATGTACTTGCTTTAAAAAATGCCAAAGATGAATTGAAGTTTTCATGCAATGCAAAGGCGGGCATATCCAAGACTTTTTTTTCATTCCTCTTGGTAGAGTCAACATTAAGTGCGACAAACGTCAAAGTTGAATTTTTTTGACAACCCCCCCCCATTTATCCAAAGATGAAACTGCTGTTTCGTTGTGTGAGCAGAGGGGGGCTTGAAGACCATACATCGTGTCCTTTACATGGCGATTTAATACTTCTGAAAATTCCAAGTGAGGGGCTCCCCACGCCCCCACTCTGACTTCCCTCTTGATCAACTTATGCATTTCTTTAGAATTAGAAAATTGTGATTATACGTATGTCTTACGCTAATAAAGAATAATAATACAATTTTGTAGTCGTTCCTCTGCAATCCGACAGCTCGAAAATTCACCATCTTTTGTTTTAAAAGAAGCATAACTCGAGAATCGTCAATTTTGTGTGTGTGCATAATCCCTCCTGAAGTTTGACATTGCAATTGTGAAACTTCAGCCATCGCTAGATGCTGTCATATGGGGGCACCAGTGTTTCTGTCATCTTTTAGCATGCGATACTTCATATCTAATAAAAGCAAAGATCCAATGTAATCGAGTCCGACGTTTGTAGCAGAAATTTAAAAAAAGACCAAACAAGATGTATTTCCGACACACCGATGCCCCCGTACAGCAGAAAAAAAAACAAACAAAAAAGATGTGTTTGCGAAACACCGATGCCCCCGTATGGCAATATAGCAAAGAATAAACTTTTATTAAATGCAATTTTAAAAAATTGGTACCCAAAGTAGGGTCTTCTCACTGGAAATACAACTGTAAAATATGAAAGCCCTACCACTACTGTTCAAAAGTTATTTTCAAGGATAAGATTTTGAAAGGTAGGTCAAACTCAAAGGTCGAAAGGTCAAAAGTCCTGGCATCTACCGTTCAAAAGTTATGACGAAAGTAAAAGTTTGGAATTTTTGTGTAAAAGTAGGTCAAGGTCAAAAGTCGAATTTGGTGGTACCCAAAGAAAGGTCTTGTCACCAGGAATACACATGCGAAATAAGAAAGTCACAGCTCCAAGTGTGCTAAATCAATCGTTATGGGCATGGTTAAAGTTTTTGCGGACTAACAGACAAGCAGACAGACAGACGGACGGCTATATATACCCGAATCTTCGATTACGGTGCATATTTTTTTTTTAAAACATGTATTCAATCAGTGTTAAACAGAAAATACTTTTGATAACGGAAAGGGGGCTTTAAGTCTGCAACTATTTCATCGACACATTCTACTGAAAAAGCGGTGATGTTGGTGAAATTCATTGTGGCATCATTATGATTTTTTTTTCTTTAATGAAAACCCTATTTTCAAATAAACTTAATATTTTACCGTGCACACACACAGATCAGAGCTCTGCACTGGCAAGCACTTGCAAAATGAGAGGGGGTACTATTAAACGTTATATACACATGTGTACTTTGTTTGAAAGTATATTAGTATAGAGCTCCTTATTTTATTAACTGGCATTTTTAATGAATGAAAAAAAAGTTCAGTTAGCAAAGAAATTAAATTAATTAAAAGGTTTCAGGGACGTAGCAACAAGGGGGGGGGGGGGGGGGCTGCCCCCCCCCCCCCCACATTTTTCCCAACAAGACCTTTACTATTGAAAATGTCCGTTGAAAGGTTGGTCCCCCCCCCCCCCCATCCCACTTCTTACCATGGAATAGTGATATTAACTAAATGTAGTATTGTATGCAAAAAAAAAAAAAAAAAGGATTTTCGAAGTGAAATTTTCCTTATTTTTTCCTTGTCAACCTTTACGGGCAAAAAAAATAAATTTTCTCTGGCTACTACCCCCCCCCCCAAAAAAAAAAACGATGCTACGTGCCTTGGTTTCAAATGATTTCGGGGTTTTGATATTTCTTTTAAGTGCAAATTTGTTGTTGTATCAGATACTAAATCTAACTTTAATATAACTAAATAAAAGCATTAATCTGATCCACTGTATTTTTGTGTCAAAAGAATATCTCTTTCTTTCTATCATCTGTCTATGATATGGGTGATATGTGTTTCATACTTATTTTTGTTTCCTTCAATTATTCATTTTAAGCAAAAGGAATTTAAAAAAAAAAAACTTCATATTATCGATTCATTCTTCAAAACTATGTTGTAATTCAAAACTTATGCGATTTATTAATTAATCAATAGTGAGATTGATCCACACATCCGGGCAGTTGGTGCATGAGAAATGGATTTGATTGGCTTCTCATTTTCGAGGTTATAATCTATTGTTCCAAAGAACAAAGGTAGAGCCATTTTCATTGGTCAGAAATCTTTCAAGGTGGATAGTGAAAGAACGATACACAGTCATATGAATACACATATTTTATGTTTCTAAATAAAAAGATTAGTTGTTAAATGTTTTGTTTTACATTATGGCGTATCTTGGATTAAAATATGTTCAGTAATTTTTTTTCTAAAGTTGAATACTTTCTAATACACCTTGATGCGATTAGCCAATCAAATTCACGCTTTGAAAAACCACAACGCTATTCATACGATGCATGATGTTGAGGTTATAAGCGGTCTAACTGAACAAAACTATCCGCAAGATTTTTTGTTGATTTTTTTCAAAAAAGGACAGGTAATGTGCTATATTTATTAATTAATTTTATGTTATTTTGTTTCCTCAGCCACTTGTGTACTATTTTGAGTATATTTTTTTGTATTTGTCCCAAGTGACTGATCTCGTCCAGTGTTATTACTTCGGCAGTTCATTTCACAAAAACTACGTACAGAAATGGCGTTCAAACAAAACTTTCCATGACAAGTTTGTAATTTGGGACTTAAAGTGCGTTTGATATGTATTTGTTATGTTAAAATATGACGATGGTAAGTAACATTGAAGCCCAGTGTACGTTTGTTTTTATCTAGAAAAGAGTTGCACGTGCCATCACAAAAATTTCTGCCTCTCAATTTCTCCTCCCTTGGGCCCTTGTGCTTTGTACATGACCGAAACATACTAATCAAACATTGTTTTCGATGGAGGGGAAGCTTGAATGATTATAATTGTTTTAAGGCTTTTTAAAGTATGGTGTTGTATAGCATTGCAGATTTTGATATTTTTGTCATTTTTGAGATGTATTTCATGCCTGAGTGATTTATGCAAGGGGCACCAAAGGGGGAAAGGAAATTGTAAAATACAACGAGGAAAAACCCTTCCGACAAAAATAGAAATCCCCATAAGAAATGAGATTTTTGGAGGAAAAAATAGACCATTTAAAAAATTTTATTTCCAAATTGAATGTATTCCACTAATCAGACATTTTTGTTTATGTAAGGGTGTGATTTTTTACAATGAATTATGTTATATTTCTAACCTACTCCCTTATTAACATGTGTTTCTTTAAAATATGTATTCAAACTGTTATTTTGTGATGTAAACTTCAAATGGAAAAATTTTAATAATGTATGTATATACCTTGACATATTGATTATTAATATGTTACATGATACTTTTACGCCAGAAAATATTGATTCTACTGATGAGTTTAACATCTTCGTGGTGATGTAAATTTTACACAGAATAATGGTGAAAATCTATTTGGCAACAAACACACGATTTATTATGTATCTAGCATAAAATGATAATGCTGTCCTGCAGAAAAGAAATATTAATTGTTTTTAATAATTTCACACTGCTTGAAATACTTAAATTAACATAATCATTAGATTTTTTTAAAATTTGATTATTTTTTATGATAATTTATATTGCAAAATAATTAGAATTAAGATTCGGAGTTTTCTCTCAAAGTATTGTATTAAATGTTAAATATTTACTTGTTAATTCGTAAATAAACCAATACTACATTCAAAAGTACAAGGCATGCAGTAAAAAATTGGGGATTTATATTCATTTTCAGATTAAGTAGAATCGTAAGATTGACAAAAATTGAAGCATCAGTTTTTGGTTAAAAAAGGTTGAGGATAATGCATTTTCGTTTCATGTGAATTTTACATTCAGATGAATCTAGTACATAAACATGATGAATAAAAAATATGGATTTTTTTCCCTCCTTGTTTCCAGAATACCTTTGCATCAGCATGCATTAATATTGTTATGCAAGTAATACACATACTTTGGTGGACCAAATGTTAATAACATCATTATTACACCCTTATTAGTGTTAATCTGATTAACGTTTCATGTTACCATATTTCTGGATTTTTCATGACAGTATGTAATGATCAAAGGCATCATTGTTACCGACATTAACTTATGCACCTGGTATTATCACGGGTATGCTATAAAATATTTAATTAAAATATGTTTTTCTTTTGTAGAAATATCATGATACCGAAAATGATATCCATTAGATGAATCAAGAATGGATTGCATGCCTCTCCTTAAGGTAGTTTGTACCAAAGTATAACATAAAAAAGACAGGCATGGCCGATGACCCCATGCTGAGTTTGTTTGACACGGACGGTGGGAGCTTCCTGGACGACCTGACCGGTCCAGGAGGAGGACAGACTATGGACAGTAATTTCATGGGACAGGGAATGACGGGTGACCAAATGCTTCAACAATCACAAGGGTACGGTGTTCAGATGTCCGACATGTCAGGGAATCAGTTCAATCCTTACCAACAGGCCAGTCCTGCTCCCGAACAGTATACAAATGACAGCTTCAGCCAGTTTAATGCCAGCCAGAAGTTACAGCAAATGAATATGAACACATCTCACAGTGGCATGCCTTCTTCTCAGCCAATGATGAGCCCATATAGACAACAGCAGTTCAGACCCACGCAACCCAACATTGTCCGAGCGGGTCCAAACATGAGTGGGTATGGGAATTATGGGGCACAGCAAGCTGGACCACGTTTACCTAACCCCCAGCAGCACATGCCAGTTCAACAGAGTATGCCCCAGTGGAATGCTGGTCAGTCTAGTCCTAGTCGCCCTCATTACCTACCCCAGTCTCAGAATATGATGCAGTCCCAGATGATGCCCACATCACAAAGCATGCAGACAAAGTATCTCTCTCATCGTGACTTCCCACAAATGCCATCCTCCAATGCTTCAGATTTCTTTCAGAGCAGCCCTGTCACCTCAACTTCTTTTCAACAGTTTCAAGGTAACCCATCTTCTAATCAACAAAATATGTACATGCAGAATGTGGGTCAAAGAAATCAAATGCCCTCTGTGCCAATATCAAGCCCTAATAGCACCATGGGACACATGCAGAGTACCATGCAATCCATGGGTCAACAGCCATCACAGCTGCCCATGCAAAATCAACCAACATTCCAAATGCAGAACATAGGAATGCAAAGATTTAATAACCCTTCTCAATCAGTACCTCAACAACATGGAATACCATTTCAGGGCAGTTTTCCACAACAACAACAACAACCTATGAATAATGTTCAAACAAGTAGTTATCAAAGGTTTACATATGCTCAGATACCAAGCAATACGCCTAATAAACAAGGAGAAACAGGTGCACAGTTCAATACTAGTCCCAACCAGAACTATCGCCCTTACCCAGGCATGCCCTCACAAAGGGCAACAACCCCCTCACCCCATCCTCCAACTACCCCTGAGCATCCTTCCACCCCTCAAGTCAACCCTAGGACACCAGCTCCCATTCAGCAGATGGAGCAACTTGTATCGCCACCAGGACCACGTTCAAATGCCTCCACACCTGTGTCTAGTCCATTCCATCAACAACCTGTAGGAAATAGTGGGCCTAACTTCCAACACACAAATGATATTCAAGTAACAACTTCTCACCCAAATTCCAATGGTATAGGGCCCATTAGTCCAAATGTTAAGAATACAGGGAATGCTAGAATAGCCATGACAAATACTGAACGTGAGATACAATACCTACAGCAGCAGTTAAATCAGCTGCAAGCAGCTGGACAGACCCAGCAAACTCAACAGAAAATGTTAGAAGTGCAGGAAAAAATCCGCTCTCTCCGTGCATCTCAAGAAATACAAAGACAGAAAGCCCATGCAAGTCAACCGAGTGGGTATTCAACAAATGGGCCAATGCAACCACAGAGACAGCAACCATCTCAAATACCAACCAGTGTTGCTCCAGTTAGCAATGACGGCATGCAGGCAAAACCTCAGGTTGCTGTGCCACAGCAGCAAACCATCCAACAAGCACAACAAACTTCAGTACAACCACAACCTACAATGCAGCCCCAAGCTTCAATGCAACAGCCCACATTGCAACAGCAACAACCCCAAATACAACAGACACAGCCTGTCATGCAACAACCACAGCCCAATGTTCAGCAGCAGCAACCTGCTAGTCAGCAACCTTCCTCAAACCCACAACAAGTGTTTCAAATGGGACAGCCGATGTTTGTCAATCAGCCCCAACGCCCACAAAATGTCCTCTTAGTGACTTCTAATCAACAGCGGTTGTTGCAACCACAGATGCAACAACAGATGCCAAATGCTGTGATGAATTCTCCTCAAAAGATTCAAGTCATTCTACAGGTTTGTATAAATTTCAAGTTGTATCAAAATTACTTTTTTTAATATTGGACAAAACTCCCATTGAAATGAATGAAAGAGCATTTATTTGATCTTTTTTTGTCTTTTAGCCACAGGGAACCCAGGCTGCTCCTCAGATGATCAGTCCTCAAGTGCCTCAGTCTGTGAACAATCTACCTCATGCTATACCTTCCAATGTGGCTCAAGTCATGGCCCCTATGCCACCTGTAGGGGCACAGCAGGGAAACATTCCATCAAGTGTCGTGCAACTTCAGATGGGTGGTGTTACTCAGCCTGCACCCCAGCTTATCCAACCACCACCAGGCACCACTTTTCCTCCGTTACAAGACTTTGGTAGTGATAATAAGGTTGGAAGTGCGGAAAAACCAAAGAAGGCCAAGAAAGCCAAAAAGCAACAAGAAAAAGCAGACAAGATCGTAGCAGAAGCTGTGGCGAGAGCTCAGGCAGAAGGGAGGGAGGTGCCAAAGCTGATGTCGGGAGATATTCCAGCCACGGTCAATGATGTGCAAAATAATGAGGAGGAAGATTCTAAGAAGAAGAAAAAACGTGTTCGAAAACCAAAGACTCCCAAAAAAGAGAAGAAAGAGGGAGATTTAAGTAGTGGTGAAATGACCCAAGAGCTGGAAAGTCAGGGAGAATCCACCATGGATGGAGAAAAGGTTGAGAAGAAAAAGGTCAAACCAAAAGCGAAAACTCCTATTAAAAAGAAGAAAAAGTAAGTGTCAAACAGGAAATTAATTTTGAAATTAAAAAAAAGAAAAGTTTAGTGCGTGGAAATGAATTTATTGTGTTATTTCCTTATTTAAGACCACCTGCTACATTTTTGAAAAAGAAAAAGAGGAAACGTCATGAGTCATCGGAATCAGATACTGAATTGAAGCATGCTGTGGCAGAAACTGAGGAAATAGATGATGACCTTATTCAGGTAGATAATTATTACAGTCCCCTGCTGTATTTAATTGGAGGTCTTGTGAATGTGTTTTTGTTAATGAAGAACATATCTATAGTTTATTAAGTAGTTTCTGTATTGGAAGTTTTTCTTTAATAGTGGTTTGAGCCCTTAAATAAACAATGTTTGTATCTGTAATTTTTTAGGATTCACTGAAAAAAAAATGCAGAAATTACAAGTTCTTAATATTGTTTTGCTAGTGTAACTTAAAAAAAAAAGGACTTATTCTTGAAAAACATCCTTAGGCCATTTTTTTTTTATTAGTTGTTTTACGGATTTTTTTGGGGAAAATGTCCATTGGGTGGCTACAAAAAAAAAAAAAAAAAAGAAGAAGAAGAAGAAGTGTTCAATGTTCAAAACTTTTAATATGCAGCATATCAAAGCAGTTGGGGAAATCAACCTCAGAACATTGCACAGAAATGTCTTTTTCTTGGCATTCCTCACTAAAAGAGAACGATTCTTCGAGCAGAGAGACATATTATGTGAACAATGCTAAACTTTTCTGTGTATGTCTATGACTGGATACGGGTGTCCTCTCACTGCTACGTCCACATTGCCACAGAAAAACACACTTCAGCAAATTTTACACAACCCCCTGTAAAATAATAAAAGTTTAATCAAATTCAGATAATACCTTTTCTTAAACAGTATTAAACAGTATAAAACTAAAATTCAGTGCACAATCAATGAACACAAATAAACTTACTAGAATGATAAGTCATCCCCATAGGGTTTCACATTCCTATGACTCTCATACAAACATTTTTTGTCTTAGAACATCCTGATGAGTCAGTTCCTTTTCCAAATCTAAAATTTAAAACTTTAAGAAACATTTCTTTCACATCATTTGATAGATTCATACCTGTACAGTGACAAAAAAATCTTTTGTTTCTCTGACGCTTTAACAATTGACAACACGTCTTGCAGATTTTTAAAATACAGTCAAACATGTGCTTTTAAAAATGTCATAAATAATATATGAACTGTTAACTAACCATTAGATATAACTGTTTAAAACTTCGCCCAACCCTCAAAGAAAAGTTATGGGTGTCGGATGGAGTGCAAGTGACGACATCAGATTTGTTGGTTTTGACTGTAATTTCCTCAACCACCACACTCCATTCGCTGATCAGATAACATCATATATAGAATAATCACCAGCCTGATCAGCTCATAAAAACCGTCATACATTTATACATTTAATATTTTTCTTAAAACATTTATATTCTGTTTTAAAAAACCTAAATTGTTTCACATGGCCGTCATACTTATTTCATCTCTGACTATAAAACGCTTGCAGAGTTTTTATTAAAAGGGTCTATAGTAGAAGCGTTTACATGATTCTGATCACAACTAAGTAGAATTCAAACAATGTACGGTCATTTCCGGATTTTATTTTATATGTTTGAAGTAAAGTTCGATCGGCGATTATAAAAAAAAGGATGGAATGGAATTTTTATTTTTTTTCCAAAACTTACAAAAATGGGGTCGGCGGATCCGTAAAACAACTAATAAAAAAAATTTGGCATTACATCAATTTTCACAATGACCTATCAGGCCTGCAATTTTTTTCCTTAATTTTTCAGAAGCGTCGCTCTGCTCGTAACACCAAAAGAAAGAAGTACTTGGATGACGTGGATTTGAATCTGTCAGATGACGATACTCGAGACGTGGAACCTGAAGCATTAGCTGACACCCCAGCAGCAGCCGTCAAAATTGTATGTTACCCATATAAGTGACATGAGTATTGTATGATACTGTGTAATATGCTAATATATTATTGTGGAATGCTTTTAAAAATTCGAGTTATTTTTGTTTTAGGACAATGTTGAGGAGGACAACAGCCTAATTGTGGACAAAATCTTGGGAAGTAGAACTAGAAAAATGGACAAAGATGCAAGTTATTGTTATATTAGCCCACCTAATCTGATGATAGTCATAGCAGAAGTTGATCAAATTGTCTTATTTTACTTTGGAAATCATTATTGAACTCTGACTACATGTAAATATTTTTATCTACAGATTGACGTGGACGGGGAAAATGAGGATCAAGCTGCTACAACTGAGGAGGAGGTGGAGGAATTCTTTGTCAAATTCAAAAACTTGTAAGTAGAAGCTAACAGTTTATTTTTGGTCCAATTCATTTATTGCTTATGCTTAAGTCTGCATCTCTTGTGTGTGCTCAATGTGCTTACTAAGAAATAAAATTATTTTCCAGCTCTTACTTGCATTGTGAGTGGAAAACTGCAGAGGAATTGGAGAAGGGAGATAAAAGGATCCATCAGAAAATCAAGCGTTTCTTCATGAAGAAATCTCAGAACCAGAGTATGTTCTCAGAGGTAATGTCACAAGTTATCTTGCCATAGAAGAAAAAATGAAAGTTGCATTTAATCAAACTATATACCTGGTATCAGATAAGGTTCACAAACTACATATTGTCTTGCAGTCAGTTTCTAATGAATACAAATAAAACATTTGATTATAATGATTGAAAATTTATCTTCTTACTTGTATTGTAGTTGGATGAGGATGAACTCTTTAACCCTGACTATACCGAGGTACACAGAGTGTTGGATGTGTCCACCATAAGTGACCCCAATGGTGGGGACGATATTACTCACTTCCTGGTCAAGTGGCGGGGCCTGCCTTACGAAGATGCCACCTGGGAACTACAACAGGACGTTGACCCCCTCAAGGTGGAGCAGTTCTACAAGTTTAGGGAACCACCAGAAGATGAGGAGGTTAAGATCAAATTTGATTTATTTCATCAGATTAAGTAAAAATTTGATTTAGGATGCTGTGTAGAGGGAGATTTTCGCAATTAGGTGAATTTAAAATTGGACGAATTCAAAGAAAATGGCAGAGTGATAGCATTGTGAGAATTCAGTGGTTCATAGTAATGATAGATTTAACCCATGCTTTACTGATTTTTTATACTATAACTATATAGATTTTATTATCAATTCACAGATAAAACCAAGAGGAACACCAGAAGAATGGGTGAAACAGGAAGTCTCGCGAGAGTATAAAAATGGCAACTCCCTGAGAGACTACCAGCTAGAAGGAGTGAATTGGCTGATGTTCAGCTGGCACAACCACCAGAATTGTATTCTTGCTGATGAAATGGGTCTGGGAAAAACCATTCAGAGTATCACCTTCCTCAATGAAATCATGTTGTACGGAATTAAGGGACCATTCCTCGTGGTCGTCCCTCTGTCTACCCTGGGAAACTGGGAAAGAGAGTTTGAAACCTGGACTGATATTAATGCTATCGTGTATCATGGAAGGTATGTGGCATCAACTTTAAATATTGGGTGCGTTCACAGTTCTGCCGTTGGTAGACAAAAGTTGCCGTTGGTAAAATTAATTACCATTGGCATGCCACTGGTACCAATGTTTTTTGCCAATGGTATATTTTTCTGCAGACAATCTAGAGTGTGGTTAATGTTGGTAAATGACGTCACAGCTGGTTATCGACATGGCAACAAGCTAGAAAGACTTGGATCCCGGATTCACAATGATATAAAGGATTTTTTCTCTCAGCCTTTTTAAAAAATCATGCCAAAATCACAAAAAAATCATATCAAACACTTAAATTCATGATTTTGAAGTATGATTTAGACATGATCCATTAAATGGATTATATAGAACCCATAGATATGGCAACTAAAGAAGTGTGATCCTGATGTGGTTTGTTTCTTGGCTATGAGTCTGCTTTGATTTTCTTGCGATTCTGGCATGTGCCAATAACATAGAAGACAAAGAAATCTGTAATTCAGTATTACCAATGTTTCCATTGGACTCCCATTGGTAGCATTGGTAAAATCATTACATTTGTATGTCAATATCCGTTCAGGGTTTATTGGTACAGTTGGTACCATTGTCAAATTATTGCACCAATGGTATATTGAAAGTTGGTACTAATGGTAGAACTGTGAACGCACCCATTATGTTGATATATAAAGACTTTCTAGACATTGTACAGAAACCTTGAAGAATTCATTTTAACTGAACTGAAAGATTTGGGAACAATAGTAAATATCGAAGTCATATTGACTATATTTTTCTGTACTCACTCTTGGCATTATCTTTTGTGCAGTTCTACCAGCCGTAACATGCTCCAGGCCTATGAAATGTTTTACAAAGATGAAAAAGGACAACGAATTCCAAACAAGTTTAAATTCCATGCTCTGATTACTACTTACGAAGTGATTATTTCTGATTGTGAGTTGCTGAGTGACATTGAATGGAGAGTCCTCATTATTGACGAAGCTCATAGATTGAAGAACGCCAAATGTAAACTAATGGAGGGATTAAAAATGTTTGATTGTGTAAGTACTGTCATTTCTTTCAAAACTCAGTCACTCTTTAATAAGTCAATGTATTTAAAAGAATTATTTTTGACTATCATTCATTGACAGCTATTTATCTCTGTTTCTTGTCCTTTTATGGAAGTATATATATATACACTAGAGTAGGGGGAATTGCAGTGAACATAGGCTCACAGCTTTCTTATTATTTATATGTTGATAACTTTGAGAGGGGTTTTAAAAGTACAGTGAATGGTACTTTTGATATTGCTGTTACTGATGACTTGCCCATTTTCAGTTGTCTATTACATTGAGTCTCCAGCATTATCATCTTGTTAATAATAAATTATCATCTTATTAATTATCCTCTATATTGATTCAGGAGCACCATGTCCTTCTGTCAGGGACACCATTACAGAACAACACTGAAGAGCTGCACAGTCTTCTCAGCTTCCTGGAACCGGAGAGATTCAAGTCCACCCAGGCCTTCATGGCAGAATTCGGGGATCTTAAAACGGATGCTCAAGTGGAGAAGCTTAAAGCTGTATGTCAATCCAGCAAAATACTGTATCAAATATTTTAACAGTGATAGTATTTATTATGGATATTTAAAAAGTTGAAGAAAATATTTTTAACAGAAATGATACCAATAATATATGTTTCTCTAAAAGTTTTAGGAATATAGTATGGATAATTTTACAGATTCTAAAGCCAATGATGTTGAGAAGATTGAAGGAAGATGTAGAAAAGAATCTAGCTGCCAAAGAAGAAACCATAGTTGAGGTAAAATATTCCATCATACCTTAAAAGGAGATTTTTGTTCCCTTTCAAATACATCCTTGATGAAAACTTGCATTTCCTCTGATTTAAAACAAATGCATCCAGATTTAGAGTACACAGCTTCTGATTGAAATAAAAGTATAAGACAGTTGTTCTCACTCTGTGAAGGATATTATTGTTGCCTTCTTGTATGTTAGCTCGAAAGTGTTTAAATCAGAGGAGATAGACATTATTTAGGTCAAGGTCAGAAAAAAAAACAAGTGAGGTAGGCATTGTGATTTTGAAAATGTATATATATATAATAAAAAGCTTTTTGTTTTCTATAGGTTGAATTAACCAACATCCAGAAGAAATATTATAGAGCCATTTTGGAGCGCAACTTTACATTTTTATCTAAAGGCACAGGATCTTCAGCTAATGTACCAAATCTGCTTAATACCATGATGGAGTTGCGAAAATGCTGCAATCACCCCTATCTTATTAAAGGTAAGCAAAGACAGTGTGGTTTATTGTTAGAAGATATCAATAAGTACAAGACTATAACGTTGTTTTGTTGGAATGTGTATTTATGTACAAGGATATGTATAAACCTTGATGCATGAAATCCAAGTACATGTAAATGTGCATATAAATGTAGATTTTACATTTTGTATTTCCTTATTGACTAGGTGCTGAAGACAAGATTTTGAGTGAGAGCAAGGAGAGCAAAGGAAATGATGCTGAATCTGTGTTCCGTACAATGGTGCAGTCCTGTGGTAAAATGGTGCTACTTGACAAACTCCTCCCCAAGCTGAAGCAGGGGGGACACAAAGTCTTGATCTTCTCTCAGATGATCCGAGTACTGGACATCTTGGAGGATTATCTCATACATAGGCAGTAAGTCTCTACCTCCAGCTTCTCTTGATTGAATATCTCTGTAGATGATGACAATTTCAAGCCAACTCATACATGCATTGAATTTATTGCATGTTTGATGACCATGGTGAAACTGATACAGATTCCACAGTACATGTCTGAAATTACAATTGTTATATGCGTATTATTATATCCCCACTCCGAAGGAGAGGGGGATATACTGTTTTACCCTAGTGTGTCTGTCTGTCTGTGTGTCCGTGTGTCCGTCCGAAACAAATTTTCGTCGCAGTTATATCAGCAACTACTCATCATAGATGCTTGAAATTTTAACACAGTCTTCTCCATAAGGTGGGATACATTTTAGCTCAAATCCAGTGTCAACTTCCTGTTTGTCTGTGCATCTGTCCGTTTCATACATAACTAGTTTTCGTCACAGTTTTCTCTGCAACTACTCATTGCATATGCTTGAAATTTTAACACAATCTTCTCTGAGGCATGCCATATGTTGGGATACATTTTTGTTTGAATCCGATGTCAACTTCCTGTTTTGTCTGTGTGTCTGTCCGTTTCATACATAACAAATTTTCATCGCAGTTTTCTTAGCAACTACTCATCGTAGATGCTTGAAATTTTAACACACTCTTCTCTGAGGCATGCCATATGGTGGGATACATTTTTGCTCAAATCCGATGTCAACTTCCTGTTTGTCTGTGCGTCTGTCCCTTTCATGCATAACAAATTTTCGTCACAGTTTTCTCAGCAACTACTCATTGCATATGCTTGAAATTTTAACACAATCTTCTCTGATGCATGCCATATATTGGGATGCATTTTTGTTCAAATCCGATGTCAACTTCCTGTTTGTGCATCTGTCCGTTTCATACATAAAAAATTTCGTCGCAGTTTAATGTTCTCAGCAACTACTCATTGCATATGCTTGAAATTTTAACACAATCTTCTCTGAGGCATGCCATATGGTGGGATACATTTCTGTTAAAATCTTATGTCAACTCTCTGTGTGTCTGTGCGTCTGTCCGTTTTTTATATAACAAATCTTTGTCGCAGTTTTCTCATTAGCTCTCCATAGCAGATGCTTGAAATTTTATTACACTCTTTGTTGAGGCATACCATATAGTGGGATTAATTTTGATATGAATCTGATGTCAACTTCGTATTTTTCTGTGCATCTGCCTGTAATTGAACTTGTGTATATTAACATGATAGTGCTTATTTACATCAGAGCTAGGGTATTACTAGTGAGCATTGGCTCACAGATTTCTTGTTAAGAAATTGTTCTAAGATTTCTTTTATCAAAATATGAATTTTGAATGAATAAATGTGAGCTTTAAGTAACGGAATTTTAATCATATATTTGCTTGTCAACAGGTACCTGTTTGAGCGTCTTGATGGCAGGATTTGTGGAAAGTTGCGACAAGAGGCCATAGACAGGTTTTCTAAGCCGGAGTCGGATCGGTTTGTCTTCCTACTGTGTACCAGAGCTGGTGGTTTGGGAATCAACCTGACAGCTGCTGACACAGTCATTATATACGACTCGGACTGGAATCCTCAGAATGATCTACAGGTAAGGTTGGGAATGTCCAAAATCATAAATTTGAAAAATATATATATCAACAAGTAAATGCAGTTCAAGAATTGCAATTCATGTAAACCTGAAAATATCAGAACTTAGATAATGTAAATGATTCATTAATTTCATTATTGTTTTTCATAGGCTCAAGCCCGTTGTCACAGAATAGGGCAAACAAAGGAGGTCAAAGTTTACCGTCTCGTGACAAGAAACTCATATGAGCGTGAAATGTTTGACAAGGCTTCTCGCAAGCTGGGTCTGGACAAAGCTGTCCTGCAGTCCATGGGCTCAGATAAAGCAGCACCGGTAAGTCTGGGAAGAATGGGTCCAGGAAGGGTGGGGGGGGGAATTCTCAAACAAATGATGAAATCTCATTAGCTCAAAAGCTAAGTGGGTGTTGACTTTGGTGAAACTGATGGGGAAGATGCTTTTGAAAATCCTTTGATAACTAAAATTAGACTGTAAAATATATGGATTCTGATAAAATAAAACCTCTGTTAAAATAAATAAATTTAAAAAAAAGAAAGTGGTTACTCTTGATTTATTTGAATTTTCAAAATTCACAAAAATATTTAAATGTTTGATAGACAAATATTTTTAACAAGACTTAACTTGGAATATGAGTTGCAAAGTTTCATGAACACATCTTTCCTACTTTGTAGCAAGCTCAGATGACTAAGAAGGAGATTGAGGAGCTGTTACGTAAAGGAGCTTATGGAGCTCTGATGGATGATGATAAGGCTGGGGATGAATTCTGTGAGGAGGACATTGACCAAATCCTCCAGCGCCGTACTCAGGTCATCCAGATCGAATCCGAAGGAAAGGGATCAACTTTTGCCAAGGTATTTATTCCAAAATAACAAATCATAGATAACTTTGCTAATATAATCAAATACATTTCATGAAATATATGTACATTGTTTATAGTTAAGCAGGGCATCAACACAATTGAATGTCTTTTTATCTTGCAGGCAAGTTTCTCAATGTCAGGCACCAGAACGGATATCGACATCAATGATCCAAATTTCTGGCAGAAGTGGGCCAAAAAAGCAGATGTAGATGTGGAGGGAATGAAACACAAGGTATATAGATGTTTCCTTCATGTACATTTACTTAATTACAATTTTGCACTTGTACTGCAGGCAAGTAGAGATCACATAAAAAAAAATTAGTATATTAGATGTATAAAAAGAAATGGAGATATTGTTTATGAAATATACATGTACAATGTGAATGAAAATCTTGTTCTGCAGAATGAGTTGATTATACAAGAGCCCAGACAGAGGAAGCAAACAACAAGATACGGGAACGACGACAACATGATGGAGATATCTGACCTAGACTCCTCTAGTAACAGTGACGATGACGACGATGAATCAAGGAAAACCAGGGGTGGGATGAAGAAGAGAGGACGCCCAGGCAGGAAAAGACGGGGCTCGGACGATGATTACGATGCTGATGATGCTGAGGGCTATGGAAGGTCTGATTGCTTCAAAGTGGAGAAAAACCTTCTGGTCTACGGGTAAGCAATGGAATTCATATCATATTGAGTTATTAAAAAGAAAATAATATAGTGATGATGAGTGAAGTGCTAAAATTAGCAATATTCTCATATGACATTAGATTAATGGCTGTTGGTTAACATAGAATTTTCTGTTTGTAGGTGGGGTACATAGGAAATTTGCCAAGAAAATGCTGTTTGTATATCTAGGTGGGAATTGAAAAGATACGGAAATTGGCTTACTGTAGATCACTTAATTTTCGACACCTCCTAGTCATTGACCATGGAAAGTTATGGTCATTGCTCTAGAAATCACTTTTTATTCGCTGGTGGAGAAGGTGCTCGCGAAAATGTGGATTCCTTAAGATTATATAAACCAATAACCACAATTCGTGAAAATTTTGTCTCGCTAATCAAGAGTCAATGACTATCTCGTAAAAAGAATTGAAAAGATATGGAAATTGACTTATATGAATTATCGAAAAAGAGAATTTCAGTTGTTCAGAAGAGAGATTAATTATTTAAATTTTCTTTTTGCAGCTTATTTATTCATTGCAACAGTACAAGGGAGATGAGAAGATTAAGGAATTTATATGGGACTTAATTTCACCTTCAAGTGATGGGTCTCTTAAAAACCACTCAGGTGAGTCCCATGTTGGACTTGCTGAAAATAACTTAAAATCGTGTAACAGATGTCTTGAATAAAATGGGCTAATATGCAGAAATGTAAATGGAAGATGCTACTGAACTTTGATATTGATTTTGAAAATATGCACACAAAGGATGATAATTTCTGCTATTAATGGTATTTTCATGTCAATGACAGGGTTGTCTGCTCCTGTTCCCCGAGGAAGGAAAGGCAAGAACAAGAAGAAGGAAGGAAAAGTGGAGGGTGGCAGTGGTAGTGAACTTTTCAAGTACAACAAAATGAAGAACTGTGATCCAGAAATAGTGCTACGAGATCCAGGCTACCGCAAACATCTACACAGACATGCTAACAAGTAAGATACTGTAAACATCTTCTTATAAAAAGATGTCATTAATACATGATTAGATATTTTACTGTAAACACCTACACAGAAATGCCATTAAGAAGAATTTTATACCATCTACGTACACATGCTAATTAGTAAGATTTCATACTAGAAACATCTGCAAAGATGCAAATAAGGAAGTATTTACATGTATTTTTATACCACTCTTGAATTTTTACATTGCTGTTCTTTTCAGAGTGCTACTAAGGGTTAGATTACTGTACTATCTAAAAGAAGAAATCATTGGACCTGAAGCTGCTGAAAAAGTTACTCAGGGATTAAATGCAAGGTACATCTATATTGTAATAAAAAAGTAATGAAAGAATTTATGAGTATGTTTTTAAAAAAAAAAAAAAAAAAGAAAGAAATAAAATTAAACTACAATACAATATGATTACTGAATGTCTATACTTTGCATCTGTTTGTTTCAGTGATATTGACATACCCCAGGCTGAGCCAGATGGAGACCCACCCACTGCCTGGTGGGACGAGGAGGCAGATAAATCCCTCCTAATAGGGGTATATAAACATGGTAAGGACAGGCCTTGGAACTTTAATGCAGACCTGATTCAAGACTTCATATATATATATATATGTTTTAATCCTTGAAGCAATGCTAACTTTTTCTTAAATCTGAATCAAAAATTTTTGGTACTGTTGTAGATTAGTATGTTAGTTTATTATACATCTAGTGTAAGATTGTTTTACTGTATTTATTTCAGGCTATGAGAAATACAATATGATGAGACAAGATCCTGCATTGATATTCCTGGGCAAATGTGGACCACCAGATGGAGCTGCATTAGCAGCAGAACAAAACGATGATGACGAGTAAGTGATCGGTTCTGTTGATTTGAACAACATGTATATTACTTCCTATTGTAATTAAAGTAAATCAATACATAAATACATGTACAATGAATTATTGAATGATTTAACTACTTGATTAATTTGAAATTGAACTGATGATGACTTGCCATGCTAATACAGAGGGCATACCTTGACCAGATGTGCTGGTTGTATGTTTCTGTGAGTGGAAAAAAGCACTAACTGATAGAGTTCTTGTATGAAAATCAAGTCTCCATGGTTTTCTGTTTCAAATATAAAGAATTAAACTGTAGAAGTACATGTATAACTTGTTTTGCAGTGATGATTTGGATGAGTCTAAGATCAAACAGGATGATGATGAAGATGTATCAATGAGCTCAATACCCGAGTCCAGCAAAAAATCTACCCCTACTAGTGCCCCACCCCCTGAAAAGTTGGAGGGCGGAGAGGGTACAGAGGAAGACAAGATGCCCTTCCCATCATCCTCAGATCTCAACACGAGGCTACGAAGAATCATCACTGGCTTCCAGCGTAATCACAAGAGGATGCTGATTAAAAATGCCCAGAAAGTCAAGGTATTGAAAAACAGTGCTGTGAAATATTATTATCACTAAGTGTGCTTATTGACTTGTGTCAGCTGAAATAAAAGAATATCTCAGTGCAGAGACTTTATGGGTAAATCACAAACATGAAGCAAGTTGATCTTTGATGCATGCTTGATTCTGGAAGAATTTCATGGTACCAAAATCTGACTATGTTATGAGCAGTAGTTTAGTTATTGGTGTCCATATGAATATGATTTATTGTAAAATATACTTGGTGGTTCTTCATGATTTAAGAATGGTCCCTTTTATTTGTAGCATACTTTATATGTGTATATCTTATTTTGGTATCTTTTTCATTATTGTTGAATTCAGATGCATTTGACTGACTTGGATGTTTTTCTGTATCTTTACAGAGAATGGAGCGCCGTGAAAGGTTTGAAGCTGTGCTTAAGGAGCGAGAGAGCCAGAGAATGCAGTATCAGCAATGGTCTGTACCAGACCCCTATGGTCTATCCCTCCAACAGTAAGCCCATTATTTCACTAGGCTACGGCTTCATGTGCTGCCTGTGTTGTCATCCCCTCCCCTGTAGTGCTGTCATGTTGTAGAAATTCTCGTCCTACTGTCAATGCATCAGATAATTGATGTGCAGATTGAATACTGATGTCTGTCAGGGTTTGGGTTTATGTGGGGGCTTATATTGGGGAAAAGCTCAGTTCATGAGCTACTAACATTGAATATATAGACTATATAAGTTAAAATTTACCCTTTCTTTGTAAAAGGATGCAATATTTGTATTCAGTTTACATGTTTTTAAACAGAGAAAAGATTGCATGCATAAAAGTATAAACCTAGGCATGGTGATGGTTTACCTATATTAGTTATCAGACATTTATATGCAATGTACCTGGTTAATTTTATTATACATTTAGACCTGCTTGATTTAATCAGAATATTGATATTGCTTTCATTATTGTGTCAGTAATTGCATGATTACAACTTTATTTAGCTCACCTGAGCGAGAGGCTCAACTCATTTGAGCTCTTATGATCAAAGAGTGGCTGTTCTGTCTGTGTTGTATGTTGTCTGTACACCTTCAATGGTTGAGTAATTTTTGAGCCAATTTCAACTAAATTAGACAGAAGACAAATTTGGGGAAAGGTCAGATTGTTCAATGAAGGACAATGCTACCTTATAAGTGGAAAAAATGATAAAGAAAAAAAAAAGGTGGTTGGTTATGATTATTGGGTATATTTGACCTTTCTGGACGAGATTATTTTGATAAGGACACAAGAATGGGCTCCATGTGAGAGTTCTAGTTGTCATTTTCAAACGTTAGCATCCACATTTTTTATTGCCTTCTATTAGTTCTAGACCAGGAAAGGCACCATTAGCGTTCATTTTTTTTTTTACATACAAGAACATAAGAATTTAATGTAGGTAAACTTATGTACTTTTTCTGCCCACTGATGCATAGGGGGTCATTGTCATCGGAGAAATGTGGTAAAAAGAAGATAGACAAATAAGCTGTGAAAAATTTCCATGTCTGGACAAATGTGGTAGAGTTGAAATTGGGTCATTACAAATTTTCTTAAATGTAGCTGTGTATTTTGTAATATCTACAATATGCTATATTCTAATTAGTGCTAAAAGTTCTGAACAATATGCCATAAAACAAACTGAAAGCAGTTGCTCTAGATTTTCACAGCTTGAGATGGTTAGAGAGTCAACTTGTCAGACTGACCAAAATTTGATGATCAAAATTATCCTTGTAAATCTAACCTACCCCAGGTATCCAGAAAATTTCTGAGGACCCCTATTGAAACAAAAATCTTGTTAAAGCATGCATTGAAATAAATATTTTCATGCAGGTGGGCTACAATTAGATATAAATTTACTTCTAAATATTGATATTTAAATTAATGAATTTAATATTGTGTTTCTGTACACTAAAAAGTTTTAAACTATGGACTTTGAATTTATGGACACTTTCATGGTTAAATTCATTTGTCAGGAGAGCGTTGTGGCCCTTGGGCCTGTTTCTGAGTATTGAATTGCTGTTCATGTGAATACCTGTCTGTTGTTTAGCTTGTCAGAGAGTACAAGGTAAGATTTTTCTGGAAAAAAACCTCCTTTTCTTTTAATATACACCTATATATGTGAAATTTTGCTGCGCTGCCTCGACATTGGTGATGATGACAACATCTAGCTTGTGCATGTTAGTGGGCTTGCTGTAGAGGGTGAATGATACACTTTATTTTTTTTTAATTTTATTTTATCTGCTAAATGTCATACTTGTTACATCTTCTGCCTGTCTGTCATTAATAGAACGGCATGAAGCTTGTTTGTGTGATGTCTTGTTTCTATTCTGTGTAATTATTAGAAGATAAAAGACTTTAAAATTGCTCTAGAAAGAAAATTAAAATATCAGCACTTGAAAAATTTTAATTTGTATATTGCTGTATTTCTTTCTATACACTGAATGTTAAAGTTTCTTGCATTTGATTGATTTGTCTCGGATTTTTTATCTGCTTTTGTTTGATTGGAAAAGGGTGCAGTGTTAATTTGAAGGAAATCTGCTTTGGGTGCAGTTGCTTTTGCATGCTAATCAAATTTTAATTTTCTCTGAATATCTAGCCGCTGGTCCAGACGGGAGGAACAGGATTTCTACAGGGTCATTTCCAGCTTTGGTGTGGAGTTTGACCTCGTTACCGGCCGCTATAAATGGGACCGATTCCGACAGCTGGCACACCTAGAAAAGAAGTTTGATGACACACTGACAGAGTACTTCCAAGCATTTTATCACATGTGTATGAGGGTGTGCAAGAAGTTTAAAAATGATGACGATGGTAAGAGTTTGATATTCTTGATATGGGTATGTAGTGGGACTCTGTCTAATCAAAGACTCACAAACATTTGTACTAAAAGTTTTGATGTTCATAGTTTACTTGAGAAGTTTAAATCTTTGTCAATGATTTTTTTTTTCCAGCACATTTTGGCACTAAAACTTTGCGTGTGTGTGTGTGGGGGGGGGGGATAAATTTTGCTCAAATATGCAAATTAAAGTAAATTGAAATATATGTAAGGCAATGCTGATTGTTAACTAGTCCATTTAATACAGTTGTGTTAAGATGTACATGTAGCTGTATCATATTTGGCATAATTCTTGTTATGCATTTCAGCTCTTCCACCCAATAATATCTATGTTGATCCCATCACGGAAGAAAGAGCCAGCCGTTGTTTGGCTCGGATCGACATGCTGAACAAGATCCGCACAGAGACACTGAACCATCCCAAGCTGGATGAGAGAGTTAAACTGTGTCAGCCATCATACGACCTGCCACCCTGGTGGATCTGTGGTCAGCATGACAAGGACCTCCTTATAGGAGCAGCAAGGTATTTATGAGTATTCTGTATCAGATGCTGACAATGTAAACTAAACATTATGGTCGTACCGATGTACATTTATTATGGATTATTTTAATTGTAAAGTAAACTCAATTTTTTGTCTGAAATACTTTTTATGAAAGCATCAAAAGTGAAAAAAAGAAGAATTTGAATGCAGGTACTTCATGGTGTATGAATTATGTACAGTTATATTTTCACTGTAAAATAAATACCTTGCACTCTCTTTCAGACATGGTGTTGTGAGGACAGACTACCATATCTTGTTTGATCCAACTCTGTCTTTTATTGATGTCATTAAGAATAAACAAACAGCTAGTCATTCCAGCTCTCCCTTGCCTACCAAAGGTAACAGTGATGTCCCCTTACAGAGGGAATTAGTGTTTAATGTTTGATTTGATGTTAAGCATAATAAGTAAAGGATTTAGAGGTCTTGATTATTTGTCAATACATGGAACTAACGAAAATCCATTGCAGAATGACTATTATGTATTTTAAAAGCAAAAATAAACTTAGAAATATGGTCATATTACTTTGTAAAGAAATTGATGACTTGCATCTTTTAGATAAAGATGTGAAACATGAAGACGAAGAAAAACCTGTGAAGAAAGAAAAGGAAGTTAAAGAGAAAGTAAAAGAAGAAATTAAAGAAGAAATGGATGCTTCAAAATCTGAACACGACATGAGTAAATCTGACCAGTCACCAACGAAAGAAAATGTAACCTTGAGTGAGGAAGACAAAGACATCAAAACAGAGGGTGATAAATCTGTGGGGCATGATGAAGAAAAATCAAGTGAGAGAACTAAAGAAGTGAATGGGGAGACTGAGATGGATACTTCAGCTGTGAAATCTGAACATTCACCAAGTAAGTCTGGTGAAAAATCCCCAAGTAAATCGAGTGAAATTTCACCCAGTAAAACCAGTGACAAATCACCTGTCAAGAAAGAAGATGAAGAGACAGTTGTTAAAATGGAAGTGGAAGATTCCTCGGTGAAGAAGGAAACTGGGGACTCGCCAGTCAAGAAAGAGGCAGAAGAGTCATCAGAAAAGAAAGAGGAAGAGGTGGAGGTGAAGAAGGAAGAGGAGGAGGCCATTGTGAAGAAGGAGTTGTCAGAATTAGTGAAGGAAGAAGATGTTCCCCAAGACTTGACCTCTATCAAAGAAAAGGTCAAAGGTGAAAAATGTGATAAAGAGGTGAAAGAAGAAATCAAAAATGTGGATGACACTGAACAGAAGGTTAGGGATATAGTGAAGGACATTAAAAGACAGACAACAGAGGAGATGGCCAAGTTAGAGAGGCGGAGGGAAAAAGATACCAAGTGTTCATACGAGGAGGAGGTATGCTTATGTCTTATTTATGTCCAGTATCATGAAAACAAAAACTTTTACTAAAATTTCATTTTTGATGAATTTGTATGATAACAATTTACAGTAACTACATGTATTCAACAGTAACTACATGTATATAAAGCTACTTGTTTAGATACTAAAGAATTTGTTCTATGCAGGAGCTCCAGAAATTTTTGGCCAGAAGAGAAGAGATGGAGGCAGAAGGGATGGTAGCAGATTACTTACCTGAAAGTCAACTAAGTGCAGCCATCAGCTGGCCAAAGGTATTGTATAGTAGATCAAGACAAATTACACTGAACTAAAAGTATATGGTTTAACCATTTGTTTCAGTTTTGAATGTATTTTTATTGCATCTGTAATTTCCTCATAAATTGTGAAAGGAATAATAAATATTTTTCTTAGAGAAAATCATATTTGAGTTTTTATCGAACAGTGCATTATTATTTTAGTACACATGTTTATATTTTAGGACCGAGTGTTATTTCATCGACTGGAGCACATTTGTTACTGTGTAGAACACAACGAATGGCCATTCCCTAAAAGAATGTCCTACATCCCAATGAACTATGACTCCCGCAGTGGAACACCAGTAGGATCCATGACCCCTAAGGATGACCCCGATCTCAGCCAATCAGACGCTGGAGATTCGGTGTACGATGGTGTCAAGGTGATGTCAGATTTAGATAAGGACTTTGAAGTTATGATATCTGAGGTAGGACACCCATTGTTTGAATGGGCTGTTGTGTTTTCTGCTGATGGTTTGAGGAAGATTTTGGTCTGGGTGTGTTCAGACAGACAGTTTGACTAGTGATGGCAAGGGTTTTGTTTTACAATGTGGTAATATGTCAGGGATAGGTGATCTTTTTTCAGCAGAGATTTTGCATTAAAATATGAGGAGAATTATAAGTTTTACACTTTTCTAAGGTGATGGTGGTGGTAAGCAATAAATGCATTGAGATGACTATATTAAAGGCATTTTTTTGTGTGAGTTTTTAATTGGAATTTGGCAGTTTTGTGTTCAGTGGAGTCCTGTCAATGTGATTTTTGAGGATTTCTTGATTTTTTTTTTTTTTACATTATGCATGTTTTGAAACAAAATCATCTTTTTTCCAGGGTGATGGATTGAAAATGACCTTTCACAAGAGAAGAGGTCAAGGTCGTAAATATGAATTTGAAGGTTTGTCAACTTCCTCTGGAAATAAATTCACAAGTTGTATATTCAAATGTTGCAATCATTTGTAGAAATTTAAGTTAGAGATTAAGCCTAGAAATCTGTTATTAATGTCCATGTCACTTTGTCTTCTCCAGGCAGTCGGATGCAGCAGCTGATGAGCCGCAGCGCGGCGTCCAGTGACAATGAGAGTCTGTCTGAAACCCCCCGATCTCAGGTACCTGGTCACCTGTCTCCTAGACACTCCCCTCATCACTACCTCTTCTCACAGGTTTGTGGCTCCCACATGCCATGGCACCTACACCTCCCTCACCCCCACCCCTCACCCCTAAAGCAAGAAATAAAGTATTAAAATATAAAGTCAAATTTAGATCAAAGATGCTTTTTGAATTGAAAAATAATTGAAAGAATTGAAAAACGATGCTCTATGTTTATAGTTAGTGTACATGCTTGTTGTGAAAAATGTTATGAAAAAATCACATTACATTTCAAAATTTTATTTGCACATTTTGTTGGACACTGTACATGTGCAAAATTTCTAATTCCTTATCAATCACTCTATTTGGACATATCACCTTTTTTGATATATATTTAAAACATTGAAAATCTTGCTCTTGTAGCCTAGTTGTGTAGGTACCATTGGCAATGACTTGAATCATGTGCGGAGAATCAATTATCTTAACTTTTTCTAAAATAAATTTCTATCTCTTCATCATGAGTTCAAGCCCCTGAATGATTCTCTAAGCATGAATTTAACTTTGATAACATTATTATGACCTTTGTGAATCGCTTTTTAATGGTAATGGGTTCTATGCTTGTGTGATTTTTGGTAATTTCTGATGTTAAGGTTCAAGGTTGTTGATACATTTATTAACCAAAACCTACTCAATCTTTGAGTGTGCATGAACTACTGTGTATGATTCCTTTCTGTACATTTTTAAAAGGGGTACTGGTTGTTTAGATGAAAGTATTGTACATGTATCTTCATTGGGAAAAAAGTAGACCATTTCAATGTAATGAAATATTGTGGAAGAAAATGGGAAATTTTTGTCAATAATCTTATAGCAAGTGAAATAAATACTTGCAGGTTTTTTTCTCAAAAAATTTACACACTGTATGTAATTTCTTAACTACTAAATTAGAATTGAAAAAAGAACAACCTTTTGCAGTTGAATTAAATATCCTTGTACAGCCAGTAATAACAGAACGTCAATATTTCAGACTCCTGCTGAGTTGTTGAATGGTGCTGGACCAGAATTAGACCCAGAGCTCCTAAGAAGAAGCATGGTAAGTTGCATACAGTCTATCTTTTTAACTTGGAATCTTCTCAAATGCACAATGTATCGTTTCTGTGGCCACATTAAGTCAGTTCACAAACAGTAATAATCTGTATAATTGCCTGTTTGACTAAGGATGGTTTGATGTGATGGAAGAATCATGACAAATATTCTCCTTTATAATTCAGATGGAGCATGCACTTTATTTTGGAGACCGAAGGGGCAGAAGAGGTCGCAAAAGGAAAGCAGAAAAAATGGCAGAGATTGCAATGGCTGAAGCACTGTCCAAGAGGAACACAGCCAGAGCAGCAGCCAGCTTTGAACCTGGTATATTTATAGGGTTTAATAACCAGTTTTCTGAAAGGAAGATAATTCACCCTCCTCTGTAGAACTTGAATTGAGGATGTTTATTACATGAGCTTGGAAATTTCTAAACCAATTGCAGAGTCCCGTGTTCCAGTCATTAACTTGGAGGATGGCAGCCGGCTTTCAGGTGATGAGGCTCCACTGAAGCGTGACCTCGACAAATGGTTGGATGAGCATCCAGGTTACATGGTAGACAGACCTCCAGAAATGTATATGGAGGAAGAAGAAATGCTAGAGGTATAAAATGTATTAGAATTGCATACTATTTAAAAATGTCTGTTTGCAAAGGAAAACTCTTTTGGGGGGGGGGGGGGGAAGCCGGGCATTACTTTAAATTCTTACTAGTACAGTATAAATGCATCCAACAAAGTAGAAATTAGAGATTGAAAAGCTGTATATTTGCTGACCATCGAAGCTTAGATGATTTAATTGAGGATGTAAATGTGTGTAATTATATGTACATGTATATTTATAGTTGATTTCTTTTTGTCAGCATGGAGATAGAAGAAGAGGAAGAAGACCCAAAGTAGACCCAGCTATGTTAGACCCCATGAAACTGACAGGAGAGGAAAATGTAGCTGTGGTCAATAGAATCACTGGCAAGAGGGTAAGACCATGAATTTTTTCAATCTCTGTCAAGAGGAGTGGTATTTGTACAGGTTGTAAATTGTTGTGGTAGCCTGTCTTGGTGCAAGTTTTGAATCTGTTACTGTTTCAGCATAAATTAAAAGTTAAAAGTTGAATATTTTCATATGATTGCCTTTACAGATTACTGGTGCTAAAGCTCCTCCTATGAGATATCTCAGTGAATGGTTAGAACAAAATCCTCTTTATGATGTAGACCCCAAATGGATTGATATTGTCAAATCCAAGGTATGACTTATTATTATTTTGGTGTTACAAGTTACAAACTAATGATAAATGCATTTAATCCTTACCGTAAATCTGGAAATTTTTACGTCGATTTTATTTTGCGAATTCGGGTCAAAATGCTGTTGATTAATTTTTACGTTTCAAAATTTTGCGAATGACCACTGCTTTGTTTACATTTTCTTATTGGTGATTTATTTTTAAGAAAAATATTTTTGCGAATGCAATGCACTCGCAAATTTGCTAAAAATTTATCTACAGCAAAATTTTCCAGATTTACGGTATCAACTTTTTAAGATTTCAGTAAAATGGTATGTATTATTTGCAGGCCAATTTACCAAAGACTCTGTTGTCACGTGTGAGCACACCATCATCAGAACGTCGACGAGGCAGACCAAGGGAGCGGGACCTGTCTACTTCATTGCTATCAGACAATCCCTACAGTGCTGCCTCTCTAGCTGCAAGTATGTCAGCATTTCCAGGCCTTGGTCTCATGTCAGGCTTTGGCAAAATGCCTCTGGGAATGCCCTTTGGCACATTGCCTAATTTAGGACTGACAAATCCCATGCTGGCAGGATTTGCTGGCTTGATGCCAGGACTTTCACCATCTGCAATGGCCAAGTCAATGGAAAGTGAGAGCAGAAAAGAAAAGTCCCCCAGCAGTAGCAAGGAGTCAAGCAAATCCAAGTCCCCAAGCAGCTCTCAGACTCCACACCCTTCATTCCCCATGTTGTATAATCCACTTCTGTTCAACCCCCTCCTAGCAGCCCAGGCTGCCCAGGGCTTGAACTTCTCACTGCCCACATCACTGCCCTCGTCTTTCGCCTCCCTGGCCCAGTCAGGTCTTGTTAATGGACAGGGTGATTCTGATCTGGAAGAAGGAGAAATCAAACGATACAGCCAGGCAGAGCACCGTGAACAGGAGATGGCCCAAGATCTGTCCGTCAGACGTAAAGAGGCCCATTCTCACCATAGGAAACGGAAAAGTTACGAAGTGTCTCGGCCGGCAGAAGCAGCAAGTGTTAGGGACGATCAAGACCAAGCAGCATGTTTAGACTTGTCTATCAAATCAAAACCAAAAGATTCACCAAAAGCCAGTGATTTGTCAAGTAGATCCCATTCTACTTCAGAATCACCAAAAGATAGTTCAAAAACCAAAAACAAAATACAGGGTTCATTCAAATTGGACAAAATTTTGGACACTCTAAAGGACAAAGTGAACAAAATGGAAGACAAACCTGTTAAAAAAGATAAAGACAAAGAGTCAAAGTTGAATAGCATTTTAATGAAAATAGCCAAAGAGAAAGATGTGGATGTGAATACATTGAACTCTATGGCAGTCTCAGACACATCCCAAACCAAGTGTTCAGAAGGGTCAGATCTATCATTGGGAAAGAAAGAGGGCGAAGCCTCATCAGAGGAAACTGAAATGTTGACAAACGAAAGTGAGGACCAGTCATGATAATCAATATCAAGAGTGACCGCTGTTCATTTCAAGACTTTGCTGTGCGTCAGTGTGTGAAACCATATCAAAGGTCACCTGTCCATATCTGGAAGGGCCACTTGAAAACTGTACAGTGGAATGCTGTGTTGAATGTGTTCCAGAAAAAATGTGACTTGTTTGTTATTAGTGGATTTAATTTATTCATTGTGAGTGAGTGGATAGCCTTCATGATAAAGTACTGTACATGTGTTGACAAATTCCAGGTCATGTTTGTCTGCCAAATAGAGATAAGTGTGGTTTCCATGGTTTCACAAAGATCTCCCCCGATTGCTCGCCCCTCGGCGGATTGCTGATGAGGGGTGGGCACAGTCACTGCAGACACCTCATCATTTTCGTTCTCAGGGCAATAATGTTAAAAAAAACAAGTATTACATGTGTTGGAACAATTTTTTTTTTTTTTGCATTGTAACAATCAATTCATCTCGCACATGTTTGTATATAATTTATTCATTGTCGGAAGTTCAAATGTACCAGGCTAAACCACTGAAATACTGATTTTTTTTTAATGTGTGATAAGGCCACAAACGAGCAAAGTTATACTTTGTTAAGACAAGTACGGTTGTGATAGAATTGTACATTGGATGGTAGATTTGAATTTCCTTGTCATTTTTTACACATGATATTAGTTTCATAGGCTATCATTGCTGTTGTGTATATGCAATTTAATTTAAGAATCGCATTTCTCTGAGAAAAAAAAAGCCAGGTCAGATCAAATAACTTACCTGCAATAATGACTTGATGACAGTATTGACTGTTTCCAAAACGCACCAGAATATTGTCTTTCCTATGCTTTGGTTCATTGATTATGACCTTTTTGTGATTTGTGATGAAAATACTGCTTTACTATGTCTTTACATGTTTCTCAGGTCCATTGGTCTGAAAGGTGAGATTTCGTCAAAGTCCTTATCTACATGTACATTAAGTGTCTTCATCTGACAAAAATTGTGTTTATACTTAAACTGGGTGGGGAAAAAAGTGCACATTCCTCAAAGGCTTTTCATTTGAATTTATGTTCACTTTGTTTTGTTGATATTGCCTCCATGTATTTTATAGTAGTGCAAATTCATCTTGTTAAAATTGGAGGTGATCAAATAATGAAATTCAACTATTTTTCTTTGTCCATGACATTGATAGAAGGTCATTTTATTCTATCATATCAATAGTTTTCCTGCAAGGCAGGCAATTATTTAGGTGCAACTGGTGTCTACACCAATATTATGATTGCTCTTTACACTTTAATGTAGGGGCATTTTCCTTTAGAGAGAAGAAATTGCAGGTGATTTCTTGCCCGGAATAATTTTGTTGGGTGGATGTTTAGTGAAATAACGAATTGTATGTATTTATTTGTTGAGGAAATTTTGTATGTAAACTATTTTTATTAAACATGAATTCAGTAACTGCAGTTTTTCCTTGTCTTTAACATATACCTCTTAAATAATTTTAGAACATTGCAGTTTGTTGACAAAAAGACATATGACAGCATGGACTAGCAAATTTTGCATGCGTGTTTTTAATTTACATTTTGCAAACTTTACTTGGCATTTATTAAATGAAAATAAAATACCTATAATATTGAATGGGATACATCCATTCAAACTTTTTCAAAGATGCATCACTTCCATGTCTGACAGTTATGACCCTGTATGTACTGTTGAACTTCCCTATCTTGTGCACCCACATATTAAATACTATGGATAAATTGAAGTGATTTGCAAGTCCAAAAACACTTCAAGTATTAAATCCTCTTTATCTCAAATTGTCTGATAACTCTTATTCACTCCCAGAGAGATTGAGATTCGACTGTAAACTTAACTAAGGTAGATAACATTAAATGGTGTTAGCATTAGTTAGGTTCATATATTTGACATTGGAATTGGTTAATCTAAAAAAAAAAAAACTTCCCTCTTTGCACCTACAATTTAAGAGTTCCTCACTTTCTTAAATTCTTCAAGTCCATCTTACTTCCTCAGAAAAAAAAAATTAAAAGGTTAAAAAGAATGCATTTAGGTGTACGATGATCATAAAGATCTACTTTGATGCAGAGTAATTTTGTTTGAAAACGTTTGTCATACGGTGCAAGCACAGACACTTATTTCGGAAATAAATGAACCCATAGTATAATAATTACTTCGGGTTCAAAATTTATTTCCGAAACAAGTTCCTTTGGGTGCAAGATCAAGAAGCATATTAAGCCAACTGTGTGTGTTTATTTAAGGAATAACTGTCTTATTTTTCGAATTCATGAAGTGATCAATGGATTGGCTTGTGTGATAATTTGCATAAACGCCGAAGGCGTTTATGCATAAAATTATCACACAAGCCAATCCATTGATCATCTTCATGAATTCGAAAAATAAGACAGTTATTCCTTATATTTACATGCTTTGATTCCGCCAATCCACGGGCTCCAAGCCTGCTTCTCTCTAGGTGTTGTCCCGCCCTGCACGTGGTTTTTTTGGAACCGCGCCAAAACATTCATGAGGAAATCAATTACATTTACAATTGGTAATTTTATCTCGGACAAAGACATTGGAAATGTAAATATTCAGTATTACTTATACCAAAGGAGTTTGCATACCTACTTTTGATAGGCCTAAATAAAAACAAGATGTGTTTATGAAACTGATGGCTGCCCCCATATGGCTGCTTATGCCGAAGATTTGAAGTTTTTCAACTGCGAGTCAAAATCTAAGGTCAAGGTCAAATTAAGTTGTCGATATCCAGAGAAAGTTCTTACCTGTGAAATATGAACGCCCTAGTAGTTATGACAAAGGTTAAAATTCTTAAAAAGTGGGTTGAACTCTTAAGTGCAAGATCAAAATGTCAGAAATAGTTATACCCATTGAAAGGTCTTGTGACAATGAATACCGTATGAAGTATGAAAGCCTTAGCACCAACTGTTCAAAAGTTATCAAACTCCAAGGTCAAGAGGACAAATTTGGTGGTACTCGAAGAAATGACTTTCACAAGGAATACGCATGTGAAATATGAATACCAATACGCCACTCATTCCAAAGTTATGGGCAGTGTGGTCAAATAGACAGAGACAAACAGACGGGCAGGCAAAAACCGTATACCCCCGAATCTTCGATTACGGGGGCATAAAAATACGTCATACCTATAATAATGAATATTTTATTTACCAAAAATTTTGGTAAACTGATCTGGTACCTGTGATAAGAATGACGTTTTATCACTGTTAGAGTTGTCTCTCTTATTAGAGGATCACTATTAAAGAACGACAACTCTCCGGGTCTTCCTCTGTTAAACGGTAACTATCGGAATCTAATTAGTTCCAATCTTCATTTGATGTGTTTGTGAAACACTGATGCCCTCGTGTGGAAGCTTATGGCGAGAGCTGAATTCTCTCAAATGTATGTCAAACTCCGAAGGTCAAGGTCAAAAGTGTTGGTACCCAAAGGAAGGTCTTGTTACAAGGAATAAGCCTGTGTAATATGAAAGCTCTAGTTCTAACTGTTCAAAAGTTATGACCAAGGTTAAAGTTTTTAAAAAGTGGTTCAAACTCTTGTTATTTGAAAGAGCTTACTTAGTGGAGTATACATAACAAATATGAAGTCTCCATCTCTCACGGTTCAAAAGTTAGGGCGATCGAAGGTTAAGGTTGACAACAGACAGAAAACAGATAAACAGGCAGACAGGACAAAAACAATACACGCCCCCGATCTATCGACCATGACGCATAAAAATTGTCAATGACAGATTAACAAAGTATTAAAAGTGAACAAGATATGTTTTAAGAGACAGTCAAACAGCTAACAGACAGGACAAAAACAATATACCCCGGGATCGATCCGGGGGCCTAAAAAAGTGAAGTAATGTTTTTCAGCTTATTTTAAGAAAAAATGTGAAAATCTAGATCGTGATTTTATCACAATATCGGGGGGTTGGGGGGGGGGGGGGTAGTGATATATCACAATACGAAATTTTTTACGATACCCAATGCTAGGGCGGGACCACTGATCAAAATTGATAAAGAAGATGCTACCAGTGGAAGGAGACTTAAACTATAATATCATCATTACAGACTAATAAATAATTATAAATACAGTGACGTAGCATCGTTTTTGAAAGTGGGCAACCCTTGCACACTTTTTTAACTTGCCTTTAAAAAAAAGCAAGCAAAAGTGAAAGGGGAATTGCCCAAACTCGAAAATAATTAGAAAATCCTATTTCGTGTGGTGGATGGGGGTACCGGGGGGGGGGTAAGTTTCATTTAGTTACTAAATTATACTCATACACTGCATAAACTTTCAATGAACCTTTCCTATCTAAAAACAAATGTCTGGAAAAAAGGGGACAGGACACCCCCCCTCATGCTACGTGCCCGAAATAGTAATTGAACTATCAATAAGGGGAAATATTTTTAAAAATTATATAGTGATATAGTGTATGACACCATGGACATACATGTATCAAAGACTGAAAACACCAGGCACGTAGCATCGTTTTTGAAAGTGGGGGGCCAACCCGAGAAAATTTTTTTTTTACTTTCCTGAAAATGTTGACAAGCTAAAAAAAAAAAATGTAAAGGTGCCCAAACTCGAAAATCCTATTTCGTTGGGGGGGGGGAGGGGGTAGTGGCCAACTTTTTCTAAGCCAACTTACTATCACTTCCAATTTTTTCCTTATAATCCTTGCTATCACTATACCATGGTTATAAAGTGGGGGGGGGGGGGGGCAACCATCCTATCAATGAACATTTACTATAGTAAAGGTTATGTTGGGGAAAAAAGTGGGGGGGGGGCCCTGGCCCCTCGGATGCTACGTCCCTGAACACCGTCCTTCACACCCCATAATCTGAAAATGGATAGATCCGCCACGCAATTTGGATACGATCCAAATCGCAAAGGATCTCTATAAAGAGTACAGTAATAACAAGTTAATTGATGCAAAGCATCAAATCGGCCGCTAACATATTTAACTTGTCAAGAAAGAAATTTCACAATTCAAAGCATTCATGCAAGAAAAGAACAGGATATTCAAAGCTGAAATAGTGATCATTTTTTATTTCAGGCCGTCTTCAAAGCAAAATAAATAGATAAATATTTTTAAAAATTTGATAGAAATTTTGGTATCATGCCTGCTGTTCAATCCAATTCAATGAATAAAATATATTTTAAACTAGAAATTTTAGTGCATTTGCTCATCCAATGAATTTATCGATGTAAAAAAGTCTATGATGAATATGCATGGGCGTCGGATGCAAATCGAAAGTGGGTCGGGGGTGGGGGTGGGGGTGGGGGTGGGGGTGGGCTAATTGAAAGTGGGGGTGGGAGGCTTAACCAACAAAAAATGGTAAAGCCTGTTTTCAATGCCTATATAATGTATATATTTGCAAAAAAGTGGGGGGAGCTAACAACCCCCCCCCCCCCCCCGCCCCCCGGTTCCGACGCCTATGATATGAAAAATTATTGTCATCAAAATGAAGATGTATGCCTTTCAAGATATACCACGTGCTGATACCCTGGTTATTTGTCACGTAATGCCTACTTAGTATATGGTTTCTACAGTGTAGGTTATGCTGCATGGTGCGGTGCAAAATGTATAAAAATAATCTTTGTGTCATTCGCAGCTGTAACATTTTCAAACAAGTTTCTACTGGTGGAGCAACTTTTCAATTTTTTATTCACCATGCACTTTTACCACGTGCAAGTCATTATTATTATCCGGAAAATCATAACGATTTCCTTTCATATCTTACACACTCCCTGGATGGGGAGTACCTATTGTAAACTCTTTATTTAACCATAAATTATCAATTATCTGATGCCAAATGATAATGAAAATGAAACAAAATAACAACAATTAAAACTTAATTTAAAGCAAGTTTTTAAAATATTTTACTCATGATTTTATACATGTTATCATTTGAAAATTATTTGACGGAACTAATAAAATAATAACATCTCATTTCACCATGTGCACTTTCTAACACAACCACAAATAGATCGGCCGCTGCTGCGGCCGATAATAAAACATTTGGTGCATTTTCAATCAAGGGCAAACACATTATTTTAATTGTTTCACGTCAGGGAATAAATGAAAACAAGCATTTGCAGGTATTTATACAGTAATTGCAAAGAACTATTTTCTGCGGACGCATAAAGCATCTGTGGTTCTAACTTGTCCCAATTTTCCCGCCACAGAGCGCATGATATTTTTTTGTAATGGGGTTTTGTTGTTGATTTCCGGATCCAGTTGTAAATAAGGGAATATGGAGCCGACGGAGGATAGTGATGATGCGGTGGAAAGAAAATATAATGAACTGTGTTTAGACTTGAACATGGACAAAAGAACAAAGGAAGAGTCATGGGAAAACTACCAGAATATAAAAACAAAGTACACATTAGAGGTAAGGTTTGTGTGTATGTGTGTTTGTTTTGATTGCAGAATCATTTGATGAAAGTGAGTATGAAGTCTAGAAACAAGTCAAATTTTTGTTTGTTCGCAATGTGAGCAAAGAAGTCTCAGGAGACTGGAGGAGTGAACAAATTCTAGTTTACTGGTTGGTTTTATACCATCCGAATTTCCTCAGTGATTCGTTGGTTTTGTATCTGTGCGCAGATGTATGAAACTTGCACTTTAAAAGAGTCCAGGAATGTGAAAATTCAGTTTATACTTTGTCATTGTTTAATTCGATAAGTAATGTTAGACCGTATTGAATAAATGCAAGTAACGTGTGTTAGAAGCTAGATCTGTGGTATCTGTTTCTTTGTTCGATACAACTAGTAATGAGATCTTCTAGAGTCACATATATTCAGATAAAATATTTTCATATTGATCCTTAAAAATTTCAATTCTTCTTTTCTACACTTTGTTTTAATCTAATTCATTGCTCTACAGGGAGATCAGATGCACTGGCTTGCTTGTGCTTTGTATGAAGCCTGCAGAAGAAGTGTAACGCCTACCGTTGGTAGAGGTACAATGGAGGGGAATGGTGTGTCCCTGACTAGACTTCTACGTTCAGCCAAATTCAGGTAACAATCTGTTTGAAATGATTACCAATTATGGAGTGATTTTAAAGTCAGCGAAGCAAAACCATAGCAGTTTTCGTTGAACAAAGATTATATTATACTAGTATGTTACTTGCACATATGTATAATCTACTTTTGATAATCTGTTGTATGCTATAAAGAATGTAGAAAATCTGTGATTGGATGATTGGCATGTTAATTTAATTAGTTTAAGTGTGTGGTGCTATTTTTTTTGTATATTTTCAGCCTCATTCAGTTTTTTAACAAAATGAAAAAATGGTCCGACATGGCTGGCCTTCCACAGGAATTTATTGACAAAGTCAACAAACTGGAGAGGAATTTTGCCGTATCCACAGTTATTTTTAAGAAGTTTGAACCAATATTTCAAGATATATTTCAACACCCAGTAGAAAGTCAACACAACAAACAAAATCGAAACAAAAAACAAAGGTATTAACATTTGCATGTTGCTCACAATAATAACATTTATTTTTGTTTATCAAATGATATTTAGATTATTTTTGTCACCTGAAATTAAAATTATTGAATTATAAACAAAGCAAATGCTTAGTGAAGGTCATATCTCATAGAATGGTAGCCTCCAAACTGTTTATAGTGTTATCATGATTCAAAGTATTCTTGTCTGGTACAAAAGAAATACTTTCAAGTATCCGTGATTGCTGTTAGCTACCATTGAGTATAGAGAAAATGAGTTGAACATGTGTGTATATGTTCAAATATGTTGTTAGATGGTCGGGCTGGATATAATAACCACCCAAGAACCACTATGTGTCATATTAATAATGAGACAGTTTAATATTGCATTGTTTTTCTTGTAGGAGAATGCCTTGTACCTCAAATGATGTATTCAATTTCTGCTGGACCATGTATGTTCAAGTCAAAGGTATACTGCTTATAAAAAATATACATCTATGATAAAGATAGATATGATCTTTGATTACTTAAATTTTTTTAAAAATTTTATTATCTTGAGCTTTTATCAAACCAGTGAAAAAACGTTTCTGATTTGGGATAGATAGGTGGGCTAGGCTGAATTTGAGACGGTCTGTCTCGGTAAATGCTTAGATTTGATGGCCTTGTAAGCGAATACACAATATTGTCACACATAGCTAGTAATAAAAATGTCCTATCATTTACTGTTTTCTCATATGTATGATTTGCAGTATAATGTAGATGAATACTAATTATCATATTTTCTTTATCAGGACATTTTCCTGCAATTAGTGATGATCTTGTCAACTCATACCACCTTCTGTTGTGCTGCCTAGACTGGTTCTACGCAAATGCATTAATGGGTGGAAGAAAAGACCTCCTAAATTCTTCTTTTGAAGGTGAGTATTTTATTGAATCTGTTCCTTAAAAAAAAAAAATACAAAAATAAATGTATCATAATCGAAAATGGAAATTCATATTTTGATTTTTATGTTGAATGTTCTCATAGTTGCTAACAAAGATGTTTAATTTAGGGTTGCCAGAAGACTTTGCAAATAAAGATTGGAAACCACCATCTGAATGTCCTTGTATAATCAAACTTTTGTGTGATAAACACGAAGGATTAGAAATAGAAGCCAGAGTTATAAAAGAACACTGGTGGAAACCGCACATCAAGAAACTCTTTGACAAAAAGGTATGGTGAAGATAAACACTTGTATGTAGCATTTCATGTTTCATGCTTAACTTTGTTCCGTCTGAGAATGTTCAACTTGATCACTAGTAGAAATATTAACAATAACACCATATTTTCATTATTTTGATCTTGTTGATCTTGAAAATTAAGCTAGTTAAGGTCATGTTTGAAGATGTAGTTTGAATTCACTGTGTCCATTTAAATTTGGATAATTTTAGATTTGAAAACCTCGCTCACTAACTAGTATTTTTTTGTAACTTTCAACAATCTACACTAATGTTTTTTCAAGTTGTACTCTGTTTAAGAAACCCACTATTCAATATATGAGCAGATCAGATCAAGACATACTTGGTCAAAAGTGAAGGTCAAAAATATATTTTATGACTTTGTAAAGCATACTTCTTGACATTCAAAGATTTTATAGTCAGGTTTTAAGTTATGTTTGTGTTTTGTTCTGTTTTACAGGAAAAAATATGTAAGCAAGGAGAAAAAAAAAACATTTGTTTTTTTTTTAATTCAAGGGAAATTTTGAATGTAAATATTAAATAAATGATCAATGTTATTCTCTAAAATTAGAATTTATTTCCTTGCACAGATTTTAAAAGGAAAGCCAGAGACATTGTCAGCGGTCTTAGAAGTTGGCAACTTTGATGCCAACAAGTGAGTAGATACATGTTTTTGTATGTGGTGTAACTGGTGTAGTCAAATATGTGCTGTCAAATCCTAGATGATAGTTGCTTGTAAATACTCTAATACTGTATGTAACCAAAGCCTTAACCATTTTCAAAGCCTTGTACATGTATGTGCTACTTAGTTCTTGACTGTTCATAAAAGTATTATTATCAAATGATATCAATATAATGCTGGATGTAGGTTGAGAGAATTTAGGTTTAGGGTAGATAAATTGTTCCATGTATTGTGTGTCTTAAAATATTAACGTGTAAATCAAGAGGGTTGATATTAGGGGAAAAATTGTATTTAGGAATAAAAATGAAGTCTAGTTAACCAGTCTAGCTGCCCAACTGTCTGTGCAAGCATAAAATTAAAATCTACTAGATTGCAGCATTCAAAATTCACTATATACAACTTAATGCTAGTCAGAATTCCCAAATTGCAAGTTAAAAACCTGGTAACTTTATAAAAAAAACTTGCGAGTTGACCTCTTTTCCTTGGGAACCAAAACATCCTTCTCTTCTTGCCCTTTTCTTTTCATTCTGGTTGTGTATTTTCCTTTTTAGCTCACCGAAACTGAAAGCTCAAGTGAGTTTTTCTGATCACCTCTTGTCCGTCTGTCCATTTGTCTGTAAACTTCATATTTGTTCAGATTGTTGCCCCTGGAGGGTAGGGCAGGGCCACAATGGACAATCAAAGGTTTATATAAGAATTTATAGGAAAAGTCTTCTCAAGAACAACAAAGCAATGATTAACTAGATTTATATGGTAGTATCCTTAGGTAGTGAAGATTCAAATTTGTTCAAATCATGACCCCCCTGAGGGATAGGGTGGGGCCACAATGGACAATCAAAATTTTACAGAGGAATATTTAGAAATCTTTAAAAATCTTCTTCTTAAGAACAGCAAAGCCAGGATTGGTCATATTTAATTATAATATGGAAACATTCTAAGGTAGTGGAGATTCAAGTTTGTTCAAATCAAGACCCCTGCCCAGGGGTAGGGCGGGGCCACAATGGATTATCAGTTTTACATTAGAATATCTTCCTGTGAAGAACAGCAAAGCAATGATAAGCTAGGTTATGTGGAAGTATTCTCAGGTATTGAAGATTCAAATTTGTTCAAATCATGATCAAGGGGGTTAGGCAGAGCCACAATGAGCGATCAAAGTTATATAGAGGAATATAGTAAAATTTTTAAAAATCTTCTCAAGAACAGCATATATGGAAGCATCCTCATGTAGTGTAAAATCAAGTTTGTTCACATCATGACTGGGGGGTTGGGGGGGGGGGGATGTGTGTGTTAGGACGGGGCCACATTATAGGAAAATTTCTAGAACAGAAAAGCTATGTTTAGTCATATTTATAGGGAAGCATCTTTAGGTAGTGTAGATTCACATTTGTACAAATCATGATCTTGGGGTAGGGAAAGGCCGCAATAAAGATGAAATTTTTACAAAGGAATATACAGGAAAGGCTCCATCTAGTGATTGATCAGTCTGTCTATCCGTCCGCTGTTCATCCGAGATCTCTTGTTCAGAGCATATCTTCTCTCCCCAATCTGGCTCATTCTTCATCCATATAATGTCATAGGGTAAAGGGTGTGCAGTGACCTTGAACCATGTTTCTAGATCAGAAGTAAAGGTCATAGCAGAATTATTTGAAAAATCCTTTTCTGGAGCATATCTTCTCTTCTCTTAGTCCAATATGGCTAATACTTTACTCACAGAGTGCCTCTGGTCAATTGTTGTGCAGTGACTGAACAAAGTATCTAGGTCAAGGTCAAAAATAGCCTCTCTGCTTAAATTCTTGTCCAGAGCATGTCTTTTCTCTCTTTGGCCCAATATGACTCATTCTTCACCATAGAATGTCATTGGGTAATGGTGTGCAGTAACCTTGAACCATGTTTCTAGGTCAAAGGTTAAGGTCATAGCTGAAATGTGTGTAAAAACCTTGTCCTAAGCACTTCTTCTCTCCACTTGTCCCAAGGTGGCTTATACTTCACTCACAGAGTGCCACTGGTCAATGGATGTGCAGTGACCTTGAACAATTTTCTAGGTCAAGGGTCAAGGTAAAAAAGTAACCTCTCTGTTTAAATTCTTGTCCAGAGCATATCTTTTCTCTCCTTTGCCCAATCTGAAATTAAATTCAGTATACAGATTTATAAGATTGAGCCATTTAGGACAGGATTACGATCCTTGGATTTCAATCTAATTAAAATTAGATGTTAGATCCACTCGCATACTCGCTACACTAATATCTAACAACATCCCATAGACAGAGCTGCCAACCCTTACGATTTTGGCGTAAGTCTTACGAAATTAGCGTCCAAAATATGCCTTACGATTTCTCTTTATGTTCTTCCGATTTCGGTTTTTCTCGATCAAAGTTTATAATACTGGAATTTTCATAACTAGCTGTGTACAGTTTCTACTATTATAATTGAATATTCTTAATCCTTACAACGCTTGCTTGTATCATCGTTTCGGTTTTAGATGGCCGATCTGTAAACAAAATGGAAACATGCCTCAATTGCTCTAATTGCATGTCCATTTACAAAACATCTTCAGCGACAGGGAGTTTAGGGGGTTCCCGGACCACACCTTACTATTTTTCATTTCAGAATGTTGGCAGCTCTGCATAGAGGGTCACGTCAGAGGTCAAATTCGGAACAACTCTAGACTTTTTTGCTTCGATTACATCAACAAATAAACGATAACTTTGCAGGCGACTGTTTGATTGGTTAATAGAATTTGACCTCTGACATGACTCTCTATGGGATGTTTTCAGATGTTAGTGTAGCGAGTATGCGAGCGGATCTAACATCTAACTTTAATTAGATTGCTTGGATTTAAAAAAAGTTCCTATTTTTGCAGTTTCCGTCATTTTTTCGCAGAAGTTGCACATACTGAAAATATCTTATACAGATTTGTCATAGAATTATTAAGGTCAAGCTCTGTTTTGAGTACAATCCAGCCATTTTTGACAGTTTTGTGCCCCTTGGACCTAGAGAAAATCTTATTATTTGCAGTGTCCTTTCATTTTCTTCACAAATGTTGCACATACTGAAATGAAATTTGGTAAACAGATTTATCATAAGAATATCTAGGTCAAGCTCTGTTTTGGGTATGATCAAGCAATTTGGGACAAAAATAATGCTCCATGGACTTGGAAAATTTTTAATTACTGTAGAAGTACTTTTTTCCGCGTGGTACAAATTTACGGTATGTACACGGTCACAAATTTTCCGCGGAAATTTGTCCAAGCGTACTTATTGTAAACGTAAGGCATATAGTGACAGTCTAAGAAATCTGCGTAATCTTCTACCCGCGGATTAAACAGAAATTGAGATTCTGCGGAATTATGACCCCGTGGAAAAAAGTATGTTTACAGTATTTTTTTTCGGGGGGGGGGGGCACCCCCTTTTCACAATTTTCGAATTGCCTTGGCGGTATATAGGGATTATAAGGTAATCCAATAGCTCATGTACAAATAAACAGTTGCTACTTATATTTTATCTACTTAGGTCAGTCACAACTGGGGTTTTGAACCCAAGACCTTATGATTATGGAGGCATCCATTGAAACTTTTTTTTTTGTATCATTTTGTATCTTTATTTGACAACTTTTCAATATTGTAAATGAAAAATATTAAAATATAGAAAGCATATAAAAATAACTTATATATCCTAAAAAAAAAAGTATTAACCAATATCCATTTTAGTTAAATTATTTATGTCAGTTTGGTAACATCATCTTATAGGCACTTTATGGTAGTAAATTTTTGTGCAAAAAGAAAAGCATTCAATCTTTTGAAATACATATATATTATTATAACAGTAACTTGATCGGAAGGGTCGTATCACATCAAGTTGACAGGCGCGGATCATCAGATCTAACGAGACGTGAAGCATCGAGTTTGATCTGATGATCTGCGCCTGTCAATGAGATGTGATACGGCTCTTCGGAGCAAGTTGCTTTTATAATGATAAATTTATTATATACCCCCTCATAACTAGCAAAATATAGCAAAAGAAAACTTAAAAGGTCAATTGTATAACATTTATCCATTAAATCAAGCATAATAACAAGGGACTTTTTAACGCGCAAGAAAAATAATGTCATGTTTCTGTGTACTACGTCATCAGTTTCAGAGAGTGGAGATATGGATTCAGAAAACCACAGTGTGGTGATCCGGAAAGTCGGATCACGACGTCACGTGATTGCGTAAAATCAACAGTAAAATTGAGTGATACACATTAGGTATATAATAAAAGTAGGGATCACATAATTTGCAAAGTAATTTTTATGACATCGAGTTAGAGCTCGAATGTCATCTAGCTGGCGTATGCTTGAAATCATTTACGCAACCGAAGGTGTCAGCTGATGCATCCACAAAAGAAAATAACAATAGCAATAGATCAGTGTCTTTGAAAATGTTCACATTGAATGAAATCTTGAAATTAGAATAGCATCAATTGTAAATACAACTAGAGCCGAGCTCGTTACAAAGCAACGAGTAGGTCTTCCGTCCTGTTTGACCGAAAGTAACTTTTATTTTTAAAAATAGAGAAATGACGTCTCTAATGATTTAAATCCAAATCTATGTTGAAAATTGCAAAAGTAGGCCATTTTTTGCTACTTCCTGTTCGACCGGAAGTGACGTCGACGGACGGAAAATTAAGTTTTATGCTTCCAGTGACAAGTATTTCCCAAAAACGTGTCAAGAACGGCAAAAATATGCATTTTCTGACTACTTTCGGTTTGGCAGGAAGTGACGTCACAGGACGTTTCTTGATGATCTCAATAGATTCTACTAGAGATTTTGAAGAACTTTGCTTCTTTGATGTATGACAAATTCGCAATACTTTTTGAGATATCTGGAAAAAACATTCGGCCCCTCTAGATCCCCTAATTTAGGGGTCAGTCCTTTTTCCGATATATCAACTGAAAGATCTTGTAATTCTGCACAAATTTTGTCCTATATGTT